TTTGGCCTGAACAAAGACTTAGATACAGTCCTCTACCCCATCCTTCTATGCAAAGTTGCAAGGCTAGTTATTAGCCGCCAGGTGATATTTTGCGTGGGATATTGTTTAGAGGGTATACAATTCCGTTAAAAGTCGATAGGGTAAGCTCAGCTGAGAGGAACTCATGGTAAGGCGCACCTAGAAAAGCCACTCTGAGTTCTTTTATTATTCATAAACATTGTGAAGAAAATCTCATGGGGTTTCAGTACTCTGGTTCTACTGCATGCTGTTGACGTTAAGTCATGGAGAGCCGTAATGTACGAAACAGGATCAGAAAAGTAACGAGACGATCTCATCATGAAAAAAGGCGTTTGGAGTTTATTTCACAGCTTACTTCTGGCATAAGGTATTTTTAAGGTCATTAAAATTAGGCAGCTGATGCTTTATATCATATTAACGTGAAAGCCTTTGAAAGCTCAAATGTCAACGTCATAGAGATGGTATCGATCTGGGTGATTGATGGAAACCTAATGTAACTCAATGACAGTCTTAGTGCTTCATCATAACCTTATAAACTTAGGCCTAGCGGCACTCTATGCACTATGTGTGAAACATTTACGGGCAAACCACGCTGTTTTGTACCCCTATCAGTGAGACAAATAGTCTTATCCAAAATGCATGGGTTTACACCCCTTAGCGTCCTATCTGAGGTAAAGTGGATTGCTGAAAAAATGCCGCTCGCTGTCATCAACATGGTCCGAAGTGTGATTGGTATGATACAAATAAAAAGTCCAGAGGTACATTCTTTCACCTACTGGCAGAATTCCAGCACCAACCAGTAAACTCGATCATACATGTGTCAAAATGGTTTGAAAAATGCCTCCATTGATATGCTTTGAAACATACTCCAACACGCGGAGATAAACTTGCAAGACAACCAGTAGGAATACCTTCGGATAACTTATTTACCAGATAAGCAGTGAGCAATTTAAGAGTTATCTCATTCAGCAACTAGCCGAATTTCTTAAAATTAGGTGCATAAGAACTACTGAGTACCATCTTATATCCAGTGTCAATGCTGAAACGTTGCATAATCACCTGAAAGCTACGTTGACGGCAGTAAAAGCTGATGAAAAATGGGGCGACAACTTACCATTAGTTCTTCTTGATTAACGTTCAAGGCAGAAAACTGGTTGACGTACTTCAGAGTTAGTTTATTGAGCTACGTTACGATTTTCTGGAGAATACCATAGCCTATGAGACTTGACTAACTACGTTCAACAACTCTGTACCATGTGAGTACATTACAACCTTAGTCCCCAAGATGCCAATACAACCAAGTGTGGCAGTCTCAGCATGTTTCAGACTGCACTCATGACTTCACCTGACACAACGGCGTTCAAAAACCGTTTCATAGGTTTTTAAAGTGGTTGATAAATCAGAAAATTCTATCACAGTTGAATACTCTGATAGACGGTACTTTGTGATCATTGACGGGATCAAACTATCGGTTTTTCAACAAGGCATCATTGATCTCAAATCTTAATCTACAGTGGGGCAGCCAAAAACATCGAAAACCACCACAAGAGGTGAAAAATGACATCTGAATCACTTACAACTAGTAATGGTGACAGAAGTACTATGTCCTAGCGAAAAGTCTATTAGCCACAACTCCTTGTAAAAACAATTAAGTTTCAATGAAATCACTACTCTGCTGATTATATACCTACCTAGTCATATTTCTATTATTTTGTCAAACATTTATAAAAACAGTTCCCATTTGACTCTACAGACTTCAGAATCTTGCCTTTTCTTCCCAAAAATTTCAGCTTCCAGTTACATTCTGAGTATAACGATTCTGACTCCTTTTTACCTCATGAAATATTGTCACCATTATCAAACAGTTTCTTCTCCTACTTAAACTATCATAAACTTTAATTTCATATATATGTACTTCCAGTCAGTGTGCATTCTGATAGGTATTCAGAATGATTGTGCTTTTTATCTGATAAAGCAATGTTATCCTGAATATGGATCTTCTTTCCTATATCTGTACTCTTGGAAGGGGTTAATGCAGCAAGCATTTCAGGTCGTGTTCGCTGACTGATTTGTCCCTTACCATGTAATTTAAAGCCTGTTTACTTTTCCTGACATAGAAAATTCTATCTACTTCCTGCCGGTTTATTACTATCATTATATTATTATTTGCCACTTAGGTTCCTAGTAGAACATAGGGCTTCAGTAGCACGTCTCGAGTGCACTTTGTTCTCTGAAATCTTTTGAACCTCGCTCCACAACAGCCCACAAGCTCTCATTTCTTCCTCACACCATCTCCTCCATGTTATCCTTGGTAACCAACTCGCCGTTTCCCTTTTGGGTTCCACTCGACGGCCTGGTAGATGATGTCCCCATTCGGCCTTCTCAGTGTATGCCCAATCCACCTCCACTTCTTTCTGTATATTTTTCGAGTGATAAGTTCTTGGTTGGTTCATAACCAGTCAGAGTTCCTTGTTGCTTATCCTTTCTGGCCATCTGATCTTCAGTAACGAGTGAGCATAGGCAGCAGCTGTTGATGAATGTCTGTAGTTTGTTGGAAATACTTTTCGTGACGCGCCAAGTCTCTCAACCTTATTGCAGCACTGACTTGACATTGGTGTTGAAGATCCGTATCTTGTTCCGCATGCTGAGTGCAGAAGATCTCCACACTGGTTTCAGGTTAATGAAAGCCTGTCTTGCTTTTCCGATCCTGTCTTTGACGTCCTCGTCTGTGCCACCTGTAGTTGAAACGATGCTGCCTAGATAGGTGAAAGAGTTCGCTTCCTTTAAGTTTCTCCCGTTGATGGTGATTGGAGCTTGTTGTTGTTGTTGGTGGTATTGGTTGGGTATCTTCTTCAGCTCTGTCTTCTCTACATTCACTTGAAGTCCCATCTTCGCTGCCCTGCCTTTTCTGTCAGCTTGTTAGTTTTTACCTGTAGCTCTTCAAGTTTGTGTGACATTAGACACAAGTCATCGGCTCCTGCTGGTTTAGATTCTGTTAATTTATTGTCAATACAACATCCCACTTTGTACTTCTCGCTATCTCCCGTTTTCACTCTGTCTGATACAGGCGTATCAATAGTGTCTGCGACGATGTAAAAAGTGACAGTATTTTGGGAACATTTTATAGAAACTGGAGTCAAAAACTAGCTCGATAGGCTTTAAACGCGAAAATTGTCGCAAAGATAATTTTCTTTTTCAGTCTCATAACCCACTTGCTTACTGAAGCTTCTGAGCTGCTAGTTAAGTCAATTAAAGTTTTGCAGTTCTTATATGTGTAGGCACGGGTGAAGGATGTGATGTAAAAAACACCTTCGACTATTTCTTCGAAAAACTTCAGATGCAGCTTGTGACTTTTGATAATTTTAGGGGAAGACTTTGGGCAGAATTTACGATTCCTGACAGTTTTTTTTAAGAAAGAGTTTGGTTCTTCGGTTTAGATATTATTCATCTACAGATGCTTCTTAACGATGATTTTGGGTCTTACTCTCGAAACTTCCAAAGTTGCCTTAAAGTGAGTACTGCCTAAGTTAATTTAAAGTAGTGTAGAAGCATAATCCTTTGTTATCATACTCTTTAGTGAGTCACAATATACTGACTTGCATTTTGAAACTTTTTTCAACTGGTGATATATGGCGACACTCATCCAATTTCTTCCAGGAGTCTTTATCCTTAAATCAAACTAGACTAACTGTATGGATCATGTCTTGTCCACCTAACTTGTGGGGCTGTCAAGAGGTATCGTCAATGGGGACTGGAGTGCTATTCACTCCTATAATGATAATCTAACTGGCTGACAACCTATTTACTTCAAGAACCAATGGTCCTGCAGTCGATCCTGTTAGAGGTCATGGGTGCCCAGGTCTAACGGGCCACGAAATAGGATGAGATGGCAGTTCAGCACTATTTGAACCCTAGTTCATAAAGAAGATCACTGTGAAACTAATCACCACTACCTTAACACTCTTTCGTTCAAAAAACATAACATCATCATTTTTATGTGTAAATCTTCTCAGGTCTTACAAAATCTTAACTAAGGTAAGCAAAACAAAAAGCAAACCCCGTGTGGGCAGTTGAAATAAAAAATGAGAATCAGTAACAATCTGTTTTATGTTCAATATGAAATAGACTAGTTATTCATACCCATAGGAAAGACATTGAATATATATGGTCAAATGATATTCTGTGTTCGACTGTTCAACAGAACAGGCACTTCTTACAATTGAGTCTACCAATTAACAACAAATTCTCAGTTAATCAATGTTTATTCAAACAATCATAAGACTCAGTCACTCAGACACACATACACAAACTCAAACATGCAAAAAACTGCACTCAAATCATTTTTCATTTCATTCTTTTGAGTTACAATTCATTCATTTGGTATTAATTTTCCTAGAAGAAAATGAAATCTTGGGGCATGTTTATAGTTACTAAAATTGTATTCCAAAAAAACAAACAACTTTGATTCAAATTGAACCAGCAGTGACCTTGACATCTTTTTGTTCTTCCATTTTAACAAAGTAGAGGAAATCAAGGCATGTCATGAAAAGATAATTATTGATAATAAAACAATACTCATACACACAAACATTCACATAAAGAACAATAATGTTATCATTTACTTACTAACTTAACACAAGAGGAAAGAAAACAAATGTACCGCTTACTTTAAAAGTTTAATTCACTTTTGATTTCCCGCGTGATTCATACCTTTAATATTTAAACATGTTACAAAAAATATGTGTGGATTTAAACAAAGTATTCCTAGTGTGTGTGTGTATGGGTATGTGCGTGTGTATATGTGTGTTTATGTATGCATGTTCAAGCATACAAGAGTAGAAATAAAATGTATTTCGATAGTTTATCAAAAAAAAATAATTACTAGTGTAAAACTGATGGGAGAAGAAAACAATCAGTTGTAGTAGGATTTGACCACAGTGAAAAAATAAACATGATAATCATCATCATCATCATCATCATCATCAGTGGAAATGTGATTGATTTTGGTGAATTGATGATGTTGCTGCTGCTACTGACGATGATGAAAATAATGATGATGATGATGATGATGATGATGAGCAGGAGGAGGATGGTATAAAAAGAATTCCTGAACTGAGGGGATCACTCTGTGGGAGACATGAAGAGTTTATTAAATTGTTTGATGCCAACATTGGTACCATAGTTACTGGTGTGTTGACACAGTTTGTATTGGTTGTTATATTCACTGGAGGGACTAAACATGCTGCTCCAATAACATACTGACTTGATCTCAGGCTGCCATTTGGACAGTAGTGTACAGCTGTTTGAGCATCTAATGGACTGTTAAAGTTGGCTAAAAAGTTAGCCGTTCCGTTTGGCTGATACTGAAATGGTACGAAGTATGGTTGGGTCTGAAAGAAAAAGCCAAATGATTTTTCATTTCATAAAATTTGACCAACACTGAAGAAACAAGATGATATGACTAAGTTATCATCAACCGATCACAGAACTTATCCTAGTAATATTTCAGTTCTTCTAGAATCCTGATAACATCAACGTCTGAGGCTCCTATAATGGTTTATATAGGTTAAAATTTCTGCTAATTGAAGTCACGATTTTTTGATAAGTCACGATCAGGAAGAGTCTACGGCTTCCTGCATACTTCGCCTAATCACCCAATATGATAGGATTTTACTTCAGGAAAAATAGTAAACATATAAGTGAGGAATAGTGGCTAGCAGTGGAATCTAGGACATGCGTTTCGACTCATTCAAGACTCGTCAGCTGGGTGTACTTGCCCCCAGCGAGTTATGTTGTTCTCACCAGAACTTAAACTCTGGACAGATCGCTTCAAACGCTAGATGTTTATCTACTAGACTGCCGCTTCTTGTGAGACAGGAACAGCTTTTAATACAAGCAACAATATTAGAATGACAAGTGTGTGTTTTATGCATATATGACTATTCGATTACTGAAGGTGTCTTGGAACAGACATTTGTGCAACTTGATTTCACTTTAATTTGGTTAACAGCAAGAGAGATCATATATATTTCATCATACTTGTGGCCAATCAACCAGATGTTCCTAAATTCCAGTGTGCTGATGTTCTTCCCGACACGCAGATCCAGTATTCATTGCTTAAAACTTTAGCACCTTACTAGGTTAGGGTGCCATCATACCCACTTCTTTCCCAGTTAGTTTCACTTTTTTAAACCTAATTTTTTTATTATTTTTCAACACTGATTTTAAAGACTGAATTTACTAGACTTTGTTATTGTATTGGGAGCATATAAAGATGCTTTGATATCCTTTGGGGCCCTTCGTCAAGACTAACTTTCATAGTTGAAAAGGTTGATGCGTTAACAACTGAAAGTATGTTACCTACAAGGTAGACAGACTAAAACCTCGAAGACGTAAGAAATGGCTTCAGTTACTTATTCTATGTCAATATTAGGACATGATATTGCCAAGTAACCCTCCAAATTGTCACACCAACAAAGTTTCAGCTCCTTGGAGGGACTCCACATGAATCAGTGTTAAAAAATCGTTATGTATTATCTTTCTGATTTGGAATCATTACTCTTTTATTTTTATCCTATAGAAAGCCAAAAAAAACTAACCGTCAATAAATTCCTGACAGGATTAAAAAAGGATGCCAATTCTTCTTGTGTAGCATCGGCTGGTGCACCGGTCAGCATAACCATAGATGCTGTTAGGCCAGGTAGACTGCAATGATTTTGAGCGTTTGATATATCACTGATAAACGATGAAGGTTTAGGCTCCAACAGAATACTTGGATTGACATGATTGACTGAAGGCAAGAAACTGGCTGGTATCAGTAAACTGTCATGATCCTGTGGAGTGATTGATGATTGAAGATTGAGACCAGGTAAGGAGTTGACAAACTGTGACATATCAAGATTCCTGATGGGCAGAGTTAATCGTTTCAACGTTAAGCTGGGATCTGGCAGTCGAAGGTGAGGAGTGACAGCTGAAATTAGAATTAGACGATGGTAATTACTATACTCGTATTCGTTGTTATCGTTCTTTAGAATATACTTGGATGTGGTTATAATACTCGTGATTTTCCGTTGTTATACAGGGTCAAACTGCTCGACCTCTGTTGGCAGATGGGCTTTATGCGAATGCCTCGTAACTGCCAAATATTCATGATGTTATATTGATCTTGATGACTAGTAGAGCAATTGAGGGCGCGCATTTCGTCCTATTTGGGACTCATTTGCTGGATATACTTGCATCACAGTGAGTAATGTTATACCCAGTGGGGCTCGAACATAGCACCGACGGGTCCAAACGTCAGAGCGTTATCCACTAGGCCACTGGGGCACGGCAGCATCCTCTTGTTTAACGGGTATCAGTTGTTGTAATGATCTTCTAGTTTCCCGTTTGCTATACAGGGGCGAGTTGCTGTCGTGCCCCATTGGCGTAGTGGGTAACCCTCTGGAGTTTGAAGCGGTGGATGCTGGGTTCGAGCCTCCTTGAGGCCAACACCACTCAGTGGGGTTCGGGTATATCCAGCGGACAAGTCTCACATAGGATGAAACACCTGTTCTTGGTTCCTCTGCTAGTCGTCAAGATCATTCCTTAGATGTAAGTAGTTATTAACTCTTCTCGTAGTTAAACAAACGTCTATACTATGGCGTTGTCTATGATGGATACAGATATGTCCAACTTATCATATGTATGGAAGGTGTACGTAACCCTTCAAGGTAATCACGTCAAGTGATAAATAAACCTTCATGCATGCATAGAACTTCACTTCATCATTACAAAACGTGGTATTTGACTTCACTTGCCACCTAGCTGTGTATACTGGTAGGGAACAGAGTTGAGATCTATCGAGAGAACATCATTTACATCCTCCTCGTTTAATGGTGTTCTCCAGTCACTAATTGTCTAGCAATAAGCTAAAGGAAGCATTTTCTCATACCTCCACCCACGTAAATATAGTGCAGTCTATTTACACTTGAGCAGTCAGATATACTGGTCAGTCAGCTTACACCCATAAAGCTTTTCGAAATAATAGTACACTTTCTTTGGAAAGTGATAGCAGTTTATCTGAAACCATTGGAATGTGTTTTCAATACATTATGTTTAATTTTAATGAATATGAGACTGAAGTTGATTCCTGAGCGGAAAAGTAACTGACCACAAACAGCGTCTCCATTTCATTTTGATGGATGTTCAGAATCGATTGTTCCTTAAGCTGGAGTTGTAGATCATATCAATGCCATGTCAGGCATCATCATCAGAGTATCAAGGCTCCGTAAGAAAATCAACCGAAATAAGCATGTATGCATATTTGTATTATGCTACATTGGTTGAGTCCAACTTAATTGGCTGTTTGATGACTATGTGAGCGTACGTTGAACGTGATTGGTTGACTTGTTTCCTTTAAATCATGGTTCACACTGATTGGTTGATTTGTTTTAAATGAACTGGTGACCTTAGCTGCTGCTTACTGGTTGGTTTCTTCTGAACGGTTGTTCTTTTGTATGGATTGATTGATAGGAAATTGAAATGTTTGTCAGGCTGATTTGAACCTTCACTTCAGTTTAACGTAGCTGTAAACTGGACTATGCTCAAAGAGAAACAGCTTAGCTCCTTTTCATCCTTTTGTGACCTGTCCCAGTATTAAAAATCAGACTCTTTTAAGCCAGTTCATATTGAAACTTAGATTCGTTCATTCAATAAGATGCCTTGTAATCAGAACAGTTTTTTACACTTATTTATTGTGTTACGCTTAATCTCCACTAAAATAAATTGTAGCCCAATGTTTTAAACAAGCCGAAAACAGGATGAAGTGGAAGAATTGAAATATCACATCCATTTGTTTCAGGACTTACCGCCAGCTTTCAGCAGCCCTCATCAACAGAGGGAGTCACAAGCAATAATAGTGGAGAGGATTCAGCACAACTCAACAATAATTTATTATTCGGAAAGAGTGAAGCACATCTGTTTGGTCTTATAGGTTATTGGTGTTTGGGCTCGTTTAAAACCTTATCGTCTTTTAAACGCTTATTTCTCATAGTGTGCTTTGAAGATTGGGTTAACACTCTTCTCTCGTTCCTTTCAATACGTCCACTGCCGCAAAATACACCTGACCTGGTCAGTACAGCTAGATTTCAGTTAGTGATCATATTAAAACACAATAGTTGTAGATTAATCTAAAGGTATGGAAACTCCTTTCTTGTGCACCCATTATCCTAATTTCTCTACTCACTGATATCTGATGACTATTTAAATGCTAGCTGAAGAAACAGAGGCTTTTTTGAATACTTAGATGATTAAGTGCTGCAGTATATTCATTCACCTGCTTCATAATATAAAGTTTAGAACTTTTGTTCTTGCCTAGAATTTCTTCTGTCAGCTCATTCTTTGGGCATGCTGTTCTTACTATGCTAAAGAGAGTCATAAGTAACACTCACTTGTAGCTGGTGTGACAAAGTCATTTTACATTCAGTTAATGACCTATTCAACTGTTTTTCCTCTGGATGGTTTATCGATCTTACTATCACTACCAGGTCTTACACTCAGTTCTAAAAATTTAAATCCACTTTCATTTTTTGCATTTCAATGTGTCCGGCTGAAAACATCAATGAAGTAAGTTTTGTGCTTGACTCCTATTATCACCAGGGTATTTATTGAGCCCCAAACTACAGTAAGAAGGGTATTTAGTGCACTGAGGTTTTTATCGGTCCTCCAAATGGTATTGATTCATAATGAAGAATATCTTTCATGTGCATTTCTTTTCATTGCTGAATTCAGATGCATTTATGAGAAGGTTCCAGCTAGGATATGTTCAATTGACGACTCCGTAACCAATTAGTCTGTTCGCTGATTCAGCTGACTGGTAAACTGGAAATAGAACCATTTTTAAGAGAAGGAATAATTATTTCCTATGAAAGAAATTTTGAACTACTTTCGGAAATTTGAAATCAAAACGATCAGTTTATTTCAAGTTGTTATTCATCGTAGACTGACATCAGTTGGAAGAACAAAGGAAACCTGGGAGCACTGGACAGCTGTTTCGTCCTAGTATGGGACTCCTCAGCAGTGCGCACCCACGACCCCACCAGCAGGGATCGAACCCGCGACCTTCAGGTTCCGCGGCCAGCGCCTTACTATTGAGCCACTGGGTCAGAATACAATGCTCCATATTTCCAACTTCTGTTAGCTCACGATATATAGCGCAACCGCCACCCAATGTCATCGCTGAGTATTTGTCCTCATGGCCATCAGGCTTTGACTCCACCGGTCACGACTTGTCATTGGGACTTCGGGAATACTTCTCAAAACTAGTCACCAATGAGCACCAGTTCAATTAAATTTTTGAGGGAGTTGTGGAGATTTGGAATTATTTCAAGTTGTTATTCATCGTAGACCGACATCATTTGGAGGAACAAAGAAATAAAGCGAATGCTCGACAGACGTGGAAAATACAAATGGGTATTTGTCTTAATTACAGTACTGTATTCATAAATAACGAAGATGACTGATAAACTATGAATCTTAAATCACGAATCATGTTTTTGAGGGCTTATTGTTGTCAAAATCATCTTACAAGAAGTGAATCAACAAAATAAATAGCAGAGTTGTTTCCTTAGCAAACTGTTGACGCAAATGTCACAAGAGCATCTAACATAGATAAGTTAAAAAGCACGAGACAGATAAGTATTCAGTCGAAGACACAGCATTGGAGGAAACAACTGAAACGAGTACAATTCAGTCACGAAATGAGAAAGATGTCAATATTCTAGGATGCTATGTGGGGAATGAAACAGGATCAAAACAGAAAACAAGTTATACTACTCAATAATAGTAAGTAGTATAAAACTGAAAGCAGAAAGAATGTAACAAACTACAACATGCTTGGAAGAAGAATTAACTGAAGTAGGTCACACTGTTGACAGATTCGGCTGCAATTTAATCTACTTGCATTCTTTTCATTAGTATGACAAGGCATTAAGCAATACCATGAGAGCATCAAAGGTATTCAGATAATTCATTTAGAACTAGGATTTGTTGCCAAACTTGTGATTTGCCTACTTCGCCGTGATGAACTGTGTACTAATCAGAAGATTACGTAAACACTGCCTGAAAGCTTATGAAAAACTTTCAAATCCTTCATGTGAGTGTAAGTGTTGGCATCTGGAGTAACACTTAACCCACTCTAATCTTTAGATTTTATTCTTGCAAACAGTTTCTAGGCTACCAAGATATTATTCATCATAGACTGACATCAGCTGGTAGAGAGTTGGAAACGTGTGAGCGCTGGACAACTGTCTTGCCCTAGCATGGGACTCCTTCGCAGTGCACATCAATGACCTTACCGAGGATCTAACCCAAAATCTTTAAGTTCCATGCCTAAAAAGTTATGACTGAGCAACTGGGCCGGACAGCAGTAGTCATTGACACTTATCCTAACCGTTCCCAACGGTAACGTGCTGGCCACAGAACGTGGAGGTCCTGGGTTTGGAAACTGGCGGGGCGGAATCATAGGTGCGCACTGCTGAGGAGTCCCATACTAGGAGGAAAAAGCTGTTCAGTGCTGCCGGATTTCCAATGTTCCTCTAAACGATGTCAGTACATGATGAATTAATATTATTATTATTAGTTTCCTTTAGGTTCCTAGTGGAATATACAGCTTCAGTAGCACGCCTCAGTTTCACTCTTCTCTGTAGTCTTTTGAACCTGGCTCCACGACTACCCACAAGCTCTCATTCATTCTTCATTTCATCTCCTCCATGTCACTCCCTCCTCCGACAACCAACTCGTCGTTTCCCATGCGGCTTCCACTCGATGGACTGACCTGGTGCATGATGTCCCCAGTCCGTCTTCTCAGTGTATGCCCCATCCAATACAATACAGTACAATACAATCCATCTCCACTTCCTTCCACTTCAATACTTGTTGGAATATGCGTTCTCAGTCAGTTGCTTCGTTGCCAGGCTTCCACAGTTCCTTGTTGCTCATTCTTATTATTCAATTCTGGCCATCTCATCTCATCTCATCTGATCTTCAATGTCAGTATCGAGTGAGTGTAGGTGGCATCTGTTGACGAATGTCTGTAGTTTGTTGGAGGTGCTTTTCATGACTCAACAAGTCTCTCAACCATCACATAGAAGCATTGACTTACTTGACTGAATTAGTGTTGAAAATCTGGATGGTGTTCACGATTTATGCTGAGTGCAGTGCAGTGGATCTCCACACTAATTTCAGGTTAATGAAAGATTGTTTTGCTGTCTTTCCGATTGTGGTTTTGGCATCGTCATCTGTGCCTGTATCGCCTGTAGTTGAAACGATGTTGCCTTGTCTAGATAGGTGAGAGAGACTGCTTGCTTTAGGTTTCTCCTGTTAATGGTGACTGGTGCTCGTTGATGTTGTTGGTTGGTTGGTTGGCTGACTGGCTGGCTGGCTGGCTGGCTGGCTGGCTGGCTGGCTGGCTGGCTGGCTGGCTGGCTGGCTGGCTGGCTGGCTGGCTGGCTGGCTGGCTGGCTGGCTGGCTGGCTGGCTGGCTGGCTGGCTGGCTGGCTGGCTGGCTGGCTGGCTGGCTGGCTGGCTGGCTGGCTGGCTGGCTGGCTGGCTGGCTGGCTGGCTGGCTGGCTGGCTGGCTGGCTGGCTGGCTGGCTGGCTGGCTGGCTGGCTGGCTGGCTGGCTGGCTGGCTGGCTGGCTGGCTGGCTGGCTGGCTGGCTGGCTGGCTGGCTGGCTGGCTGGCTGGCTGGCTGGCTGGCTGGCTGGCTGGCTGGCTGGCTGGCTGGCTGGCTGGCTGGCTGGCTGGCTGGCTGGCTGGCTGGCTGGCTGGCTGGCTGGCTGGCTGGCTGGCTGGCTGGCTGGCTGGCTGGCTGGCTGGGTATCTTCATCACCTCCATCTTCTCCACATTCACTTGAAGTTCCGTCTTCGCTGCCTCGCTTCACCTCACCTCACCTCGCCTCACCTCTCCTCGCCTCACCTCTTCTGTCAACTTGTTAGTTTTCACCTGTAGATCTTTCAGTTTGTGCCACAAGACATTAGACACAAATCATCAATGATGAAATTCAAAACATGTTCTAATCTCTTTTCATTGGTCCAGCCAGCGTATGTCCATCTTCTCGTTGATCACGGTTTGTTGTATGATGCAGTCCAGTCGACCACAATGAGGATGATCATGGGTGATAGTAGGTGGTAACTTTGTCTTACTGCTGTCGTGACTTCAAAGGCGTCACTGAGCTTCGCATTATGGATTACTTGGCATGTGACGTTTTCCATGATAAATACCAACTTGAAATCAATAGATCTCCGCAAACCCCTAGGCTGTTCTTAGTTGATGTGAAGTGATTTAATAAAACAAAAAATTTCGTTTTTTAAAAGAAACAATGTGAGAGAAAAGGTAACAGTAATTATCCACAACTTACCATTGAATATATTCTGATCCTCATATTTTGTAGTTATTGGAAGCTTTACTGATTGTTGTGACCAATTAAAGCTGGGATTGATCATTGAATTGGTATTAGTTGTTTTCATGCATGATGTTGGATGTATTCTATGCAATGGGATACCAAATACAATATCTGATAAAATAATCACTGACAATTTTCCACCTGGACTTACATTGTACAACGCAAATGTTGGTATATTTGGTAATACTTTAAATTGTTGGTTAGTTAGTGTAAATGATCTAGTGACCAGATCACGAATAAATTGAATTGCTTCTGTGGTATTGATTAATGATAATAACCAAGAGGTTGTATGGCTGTTTGGTGCAGTCTCCTGAAAAGGGAATTAAGTGTAACCGATAGGATAGAGATTAGTGGAGATAAATATAGACACTAGTTCATTATTGCCCATGAAACAGGTATGTGTATATTGTCAAGACGCAGTGTTCAGTATTTAAACACCAGTTAGTAGTAACACACAAATAAGATCACTTATTGGATGATCAGTATTAAAGTTGTTCCCCTACCGATAGCTGCTACCTTGACGTGGTGGTCGGGCTTGCATATCACAATGACCCAACGAGCTATGCTGGTGGAACGCTTGTTCCCTCGAGGTCCTACCATACCAGAAAGGTCTGTTGGGTAGTGGTTAGACGAAAAGCAGTTACCGTTATAGTGTAAATTGCTACACTATGATGGGGGTCTGAGGGCGAAGTCGTACTGCTGCTAGCTGGATGGGGTGTGACAGCAGTAAGGTGTTTCCCTTGGATGACCAGCAGTGCCAAGCTGATGCTGCCTTCTCAGTGGAAGGGGGGGTTAGAAAAGGTCGGCCCCAAAAATAACACACTCCACCACGCCCCACGGTCTGCCGGGCCGGCGGTGTTGGTTCACTTGTCGTTTCCTTTCGCTCATCCGGCCCCAAAAATACAAAAATTCAAAATAATCATACTCAAAAGGCTGGGTGTGACAGGCCTCAAGCAGATGTCCGATGGGCTCTGCGGTCACACAAATCTCTTTCAGGTACCTTAAGAAGAAATAGCCTTCCACGGTGTGGGCAGCCGGGAAGTGTCAACCGCCCTCACAACTCTGTCAGCACCCAAGTTTCTTCTGACTGCTATCCTCCTCCTCCATCATTACCTTCTAATCTTCCTTCACGTCTCTTAATTAATGATGCTGCATCATCTTCAATTTCTCCTACCTCTGCAGCCTTCGACAACGATCTGAGTCCACAGAACAGCATCCCTGGTCTCCTTAAACCACGCTCCAAATTACATATTGGAGCCTTCAATGTCCGCACCCTCCGTCAAATTGGCCAACAGGCTTCGTTGGCAAAGACTCTAGCAACTCGGGCATGGATGTGTGCTGTGTTTGTGAGACACGCATACAGGACCCAAGTGTGGTTATTCACCTGACCTCTCCTGACCAATCTGGTGAATCTGCAAAATTCACCCTTCGAGTTTCTGGAGATTCGATAGCTAGCTCTCGTGGTCTTGCAGGTGTAGGTATAGCATTAAGCACCAGGGCAGAAAACTCACTACTAGACTGGATCCCAGTTGATAGTCGCCTCTGCGCTATGAGGCTGAACGGCACAGTGAGAACTAAAAGGAATAGTGAGACTCGCCGTTGTCTCTTTGTAATCTCTGCTTACGCACCCACTGACTGTAGTTCGGATGAAGTGAAGGACGAGTTCTACCATAAACTGTCTAACCTCCTCTCGAAAGCCAAACGTTCGGACGTAGTGGTTGTTGCAGGTGACCTCAACGCACAGGTGGGTAGACTGAGTGAGGCAGAAAGGCACTTAGGTGGCACTTTCGGAATCCCAGCTGAACGTACAGATAACGGTGATCGCCTATTACAACTATGCTCAGATAACCGCCTATTTTTAGCCAGCACAAATTTCAGACATAAAGAAAGGCACTGTCTGACCTGGCGTCCACCGAGCTCGACTCAGCGATGGACACAGATAGACCACATTGCTATTAGTCATCGCTGGAGAGGATCGGTGGAAGACTGCCGCTCCTTCTGGAGTACGTGTTTGGACAGCGATCATGCGTTGGTCCGAGCACGTATATGCCTGCGTCTCAATGGACGTAGAAAAAATTTGGCAACAAAACCACTACGAGTTCTGCTGGACAACGAAAACACCAAAGCCGTGTTCAGTGAGAAGTTGGCTAGGCAGTTATCGGAACAAAAGACTGTCACTCATCCAGAAGAAGCTTGGTGCCATCTTCAGTCTACTGTAAAAGCAGCACTGGAGACTGTAGCCGACTCCAAGATAATGGCTAAAAAGAGCCAGTGGATATCAGCAGCTTCTTCCAAACTAATGGATGCACGTGAATGCATCCCTGCAGGCTCTGAGTACAATGAAGAGCGAGCGCAACTTAAAAATAAACTGACGAAAAGTCTGCGCAACGATCGTGAACAGTGGTGGGCAGCAAAGGCTAAAGAGATGGAAAAGGCAGCGGCGATCGGTAACAGTAGACAGTTATTTAGACTTATTAAGGAGACTGGGGGGAAATGGTCAACAACAGTTAGTGAGGTTATAGCGGAGAAGGACGGATCGGCGATTCACTCGCAGGGAAGGCGACTGGGACGATGGGCAGAACACTTTGAGGAACAGTTTAACTGGCCTCCAGCCACCATTGCGCTGCCCGCTATCCAGTCGGACCCTGAATGGGACATAGAGACAGGTCCCCCAACACTAGAAGAAGTTGAGAAAGCGGTAGGTAGCCTGAAACGGGGAAGGGCAGCAGGACCAGACGGACTACCTGCTGAGGTATACAAGAATGGTGGTAGAGTTCTCTTAGTCAGGCTAACGGAAGTGTTAGCCAGTATATGGGAATCAAATACGATCCCCTCCGACTGGTCTAAGTCACTCATCATCCCAGTCTTCAAGAAAGGCGAGAAGTCCTCTTGTGATAACCACAGAGGAATCAGCCTGACAAACATAGTGTCTAAGATCCTAAGTTCTATAATTCTCCGACGCCTGAGTGGAGCTCGGGAACAGCAAGCCCGAGAAAACCAGGCAGGCTTTAGACCTGGCCGTGGATGTATCGACCAAATATTCACACTGCGCCAGGTCCTGGAACATAGGCATGCTTACAGACGCCCGACAATAGCTGTATTTCTCGACCTGAAGGCGGCATTTGACTCCGTTGATCGAGAAGTCTTATGGCAGTGTCTGTCACTGAAAGGCGTGCCTAGTAAGTACATCACCTTATTGAAAGCTCTCTACTCGAACACTTGTGGGCATGTTAGAGCCTATGGTGAGTTGTCCAGGGAGCTATACTCATCAAGTGGTGTCCGTCAAGGATGCCCACTATCCCCATTCTTATTTAATTTTATCATAGATATTCTTATGGAGGTTTCCCTCTCGTCACCTAATTACAAAGACGTTGACCGATCACAGGTGAATTTTCCTTAGATCTAGAATATGCAGATGACATAGTCCTGTTAGGTGAAGACGCTGACAAGATGCAGAGTCTTCTGAACACTTTGAGTGGGAATTTGAGAATGTTTGGGATGCGATTTTCACCACCCAAATGCAAATTTTTGCTCCAGGACTGGTCTTCAGCGGTACCGCGGTTAACAATAGAGAGTGAAGTGGTTGAGTGTGTTGACCACTTCACTTACCTGGGAAGTAGGATCAACCCGGTGGGTTAGTTGCCGATGAGATTTCTGCACGGATACAAAAGGCTCGATTGGCTTTTGCCAATTTGCGCCACCTATGGCGCCGCCGTGATATTCGTTTGTCTATTAAGGGTCGCGTGTACTGCACAGCAGTCCGCTCTGTTCTACTGTATGGCTGTGAAACATGGCCATTGAAAGTGGAAGACACAAAAAGGTTCAGGTGTTTGACCACCGTTGCCTTCGTAGTATAGGACGTATTCCGTGGTGTCACCATGTGAGTAATGCAGAAGTTAGGTGTAGAGTTTTAGGGAGAAGAGGTAAGTCAGTCGACGAGGTTGTGAACCTTCATCGACTGAGATGGTTGGGACACGTACTACGTATGCCTAGTCACCGATTGCCTCGTCACACAATGTTGGCTGAGGTGGGTTCAGGCTGGAAAAAGGCCCGAGGTGGCCAGACTAAAACATGGCACCAATGTATGAAGTCTCTGACTGTTGGTTTAAGCCATGTAGGACGATGCAGACTAGGTGGTTGGGGTCCACGGGACAAGAGGAACCAGTGGTTGGAGACCCTAGGTGATATGGCTCAGAACCGAAGTCAGTGGCGCAGATGTATACACACATTATCCTCATCTTAACAACGCTATACCGAATCTCACTATTTTGTCACTCCTCTTTCCTTTCTTCTCGTACTTTATATTTCTTTTGACTGCATTCACTTATCTTCATCCTTCACCTCACTACCTTTTTACTTGATGTGCTGATATGAGGTGTGGCAACTCGGACCGTTACGCAGTAATGCCTGGTCCTATGTTGATAATGATGATGATTAAAGTTGTTCAGAAATTACTCGATCCATTTTTATATTTCTTGAATTGGAATAGTTTCCCAGCTAGTTAACTGTGGTGTCAACAGAATTTCTTATTGGAAACCACCCAGTCAAAATCATTGTGTTATCTCTGACCTTAAAGTATCATAAACTAATGACACGTGCTATAGAACAGTATAGCCAGTTAGGAAGGATTCACCCTGATCTGTTAGCCGAAATTGCTTTACTAGCTTGACCCCAGAGGAGCTAACTCGTCGTTCAGGATTTCGATTCCTTCTGATCTAGCTATCGAGATCTGTATATGTCTTTATACAGAGTATCCCTTCGGTTATTTTCCTAAAGATGTTCATAACTCAATTTTCGAGTGTAAATCTTGCGTGGGAGAATGATCAGACTAAAAACAAACACAATAACTTCCATGCTGGAGGCAAATTGAGTGAAATTTATGTGTAAAATGAAACGTAAGCAATGATTTCTCTAAAGAAGGATAATAGTGTAATATTTTGAAATAATCAAGTTGATACTCCAATGACTTATTCACTTTTTGAGACATGTAAAGAATTCAGAATAAATCTAGACATCGAATTCAAATCATCTTAATAAAGTACAACTGATGCAGGTGAGATAACATAACTCATCCAATAAGCGTGGAGATGATGATTGACACCCTTTGTTTTGATTGGTTGATAGATGAATGCCCATTTCACGTGACTTTTTTTGGTTGATTTCAACAACAAAGGTACTACTTATACCTTATCATATAGTCTATTAATAACCACCTGTATCGAATTACCTACATGTCGTTTTTACTGCCCTGCGACGACTCACTGAGGATGTATAGTAATATGCAGGAAAGTTCAAGCGTACAGGGTAAGAAAATCACAAAATACTGAAGATGTCACCTGTACACATCTACCACTGTGTCAACACATCATGCTGTCAGTGAGGCTGACAGTACTACTGAAACGACCCAGCGAACGTAGCCGTCAAAAGTGTCAGGGGTATACAGAATATTTGATAGCAACTTTAGAAAAACCAACCAAAAATATTGAACCATTTCAGTCTGATGGAAATTTAAGTTGAAATGTCAGTTACAGAACTAAAGTGTTCTGTTTCCAAGTGTTTTAAGTCTAGTGGCGAATATTTTTAGCTCAGAGTATGGATTTTCTGACCAAGTTATATATATCATGTTACTTTATCTGAGTCTTACCTGATTGGTTGTCTGATTACTGTGTGAGCATGCCCCCAACCTGATAGGTTGGTATTTCACCTTTGGCTTTCTCAGAGGTATATGCAACTATGTCATTGGTTGGCTTGTTTTGTTTTAATTAAACATGATGACAACTGTTAGTTGTGATTGGTTCACTCTTCTTGTTTGAATGAGATGTTAAAAGTCGTGTTGATCTGAATCCCTGGTATTATTTTGCTGTTGCTTGAATGAAGTAATGACGTTCATCCTGAAGAGTGGACCAATCCAATCCAACCAACCTCAATCATCTCAGTCGACTAGGAAGTGTCGTGTACTGTGGTTCAACAGGTGATAGCACACTTGCCAGATAGACAGTCAGTTTGAAATCAGGCAGACTGTTGTGTTATCATTTTCCATGCATAATCAGTTTACTTTAATTCATTGTGAATTGCTAATGAACGACCCTGACATTTTTTCAAAAATCCCATGAAATGGCAGATAAGATGAAGATTACTTTTATTACCCTGCTCATTTTTAAGGTAAAACAACATTCCCCTTACACAAGAAGAGATACTCTGATACATTTGAGATTTTTTTACCCCATAATAAGCATAAAACATTTGAAAATATGGATTTGATGATAACTATCTATAAAAGTGAATAATCTTAACAAGAAAGTTGAATAAACTACAGTAATAAATCTTGACAAATACTTACCATTCTTCGCATACGATAAACTTTAGCAAAATTAGCTGGACCTAAATATAATCGTATATCATGTCGAGATGTTTCCAAAGGTAGTTCATTCAATTGAACCATTGCACATGCTCCACCAATTGGTAATGGTCTTGCAAATGGACATTCAGGATCTGTTGGATCAGTTAAATCACAAATAATTGGATTTGTTATAGGTATACCTGATAGAAGATGAATTTGGGCTGATGAATCAGTTGATGGAATTAATTGGATAGATGGTGATATATTAGATGTACTATTTGGTATCCGAGTAGAGTTTAAGCCTATTGAATCCAATTCTGTCCCATTGATATTTAACAAGTTTTGAGTTAAACATAAGGGGATTACACCAGTATTACCCCAAAGATTTGCTACATTTGATAAAGTTGCAGAATTCATCACTGTTTTCAAAGGGGGTAATGTTGAATTTAAATGAGTTTCTTTATTGTGACTAGTGTTATTCATATTATTATTATTATTACTATTCATGAAATTGACCAAATTTGAACAATTACCAGGGGTTAGGGTTACTGTATTACTTGATAGTGTTGTATTTATTCTTCCATTAGATTGAAAATCTAACAGCGCTGAGTGATTTTTATGCGATGATGGTGAACTATGAACTTGTGTCACATTATAACAAACCTGAATAGAATGAAATGTATAAAATAAGTAGAAATAAACAATTACATAATAAAAAACGGGGAAAAAAAACTCTTCTCTTAGATGTACGTTTGTGAATATACAGTAAATAGGAAAGAAAATTCCATTCTACAAAAGATACATAGATGACTTTTTGTGAAGAGAAAATGAATCTCGAAGATGATCTACTTCAAACTTTCAATGGTGCTCATCTCTTTATCAACTTCATTTTAGAAGCAAAGTCGACCTTAGTGCTCAATTTCAAGAAGAAAAAAATTAATGATTTTAGTCCAGAGATCAATTTACAGAAAGCTCAATTAAAACGTACAGTTTACTAATTTTTAACACTATACCCATTTAAGCAGAAAGAGGAGTCTCTTGAGTTCACTCTCCATAAGAGTGCAAAGCGTATACACGGACGATATTATCCTGAGTGAACTAAAAAACTTGTAAGAAATCCTGTTGAAAAAATAGATACCCACTGAAATTAATAGATAAGAATCTAGAGCTGAAAAAAGCCACGCAAAGCATACATTTATTGATTATTTATTTATTTTTCCTTTGGGTTCCTAGTGGAACATACAGCTTCAGTAGCAAGCCTCAGTTTCACTCTTCTCTGTAGTCTTTTGAACCTGGCTCCACGACTACCCACAAGCTCTCATTCATTCTTCATTTCATCTCCTCCATGTCACTCCCTCCTCCGACAACCAACTCGTCGTTTCCCATGCGGCTTCCACTAGACGGACTGACCTGGTGCATGATGTCCCCCTTTGGCCTTCACAGTGTATGCCCTATCCAATACAATACAGTACAATACAATCCATCTCCACTTTCTTCTACTTCAATATTTGTTGGACGATGCGTTCTCAGTCAGTTGCTTCGTTGCCAGGCTTCCACAGTTCCTTGTTGCTCATTCTTATTATTCAATTCTGGCCATCTCATCTCATCTCATCTCATCTCATCTCATCTCATCTCATCTCATCTCATCTCATCTCATCTTCAATGTCAGTATCGAGTGAGTGTAGGTGGCATCTGTTGATGAATGTCTGTAGTTTGTTGGAAGTACTTTTCTTAACCATCACATAGAAACACTGACTTACTTGACTGAATTAGTGTTGAAAATCTGGATGGTGTTCACGATTTTCGCTGAGTGCAGTGCACCGCAGTGTAGTGCAGTCGATCTCCACACTAATTTCAGGTTAATGAAAGCCCACTTTGCTGTCTTTCCGATTGTGGTTTTGGCATCGTCATCTGTGCCTGTATCGCCTGTAGTTGAAATGATGTTGCGTTGTCTAGATAGGTGAGAGAGACTGCTTGCTTTAGGTTTCTCCTGTTAATGGTGACTGGTGCTCGTTGTTGTTGTTGTTGTTGGTGGTGGTGGTAGGTTGGTTGGTTGGCTGGTTGGCTGGCTGGCTGGCTGGCTGGGTATCTTCATCACCTCCATCTTCTCCACATTCACTTGAAGTTCCGTCTTCGCTGCCTCGCTTCACCTCACCTCACCTCGCCTCACCTCTCCTCGCCTCACCTCTTCTGTCAACTTGTTAGTTTTCACCTGTAGATCTTTCAGTTTGTGCCACAAGACATTAGACACAAATCATCATTGATGAAATTCAAAACATGTTCTAATCTCTTTTCATTGGTCCAGCCAGCGTATGTCCATCTTCTCGTTGATCACGGTTTGTTGTATGATGCAGTCCAGTCGACCACAATGAGGATGATCATGGGTGATAGTAGGTGGAAACTTTGTCTTACTGCTGTCGTGATTTCAGAGGCGTCACTGAGCTTCGCATTGTGGATCACTTGGCATGTGGCGTAGTCATACATCTGTTGAATGAGGTCGATAAAGATTTGTGGTACACGGTAGTGCTGAAGCAGTTCCAAATTACCCCTCGGGCGACGCTGACGTAGGCCTTTTCGAAGTCGACAGTGTTGAAGTAGAGAGTTGAATGCCATGGAACGCGTACATACTGCTCCGAAAAAGATTTTACTGTTTAATCTCAAATCCAAGGGAGATAAGGCAGCAGATACACCTAAAAAGAGGCTATCATGATCCATTAACGGAATATTCTTTGCCGCCAATCTTAGAACCGAATTCTCCTGCCGGAAATTCAGTCGTCGTATGCAAAGAATAAGCTGAAGCATTGTGTATCAGTTCACTTGCTCTTGTGGAGGTGAGTAACTTGGCCATACCATGTACCAGCTTGGAAGGTTCTCGCGAACACTACCCAGCCTGGTTAACAAGGGGAGAACGGAAATGCCTCTTCGGCTGTGTAACGGAACAAAATTTTACGCAAAGTCCAACCAAGCCAAATGCAGGGAGTAAAGTTATAACATCTGGGCACAGGGGAAGTAGTAACAACTCAAAGGTGTATGCCATCATTATGCTTTCTAAAGAAGTACGTATAACCTCTTTCTTTGTCATGGCGATAGCATAAGATCAATTACTGAAGACAATAATCTTATGACATAAGCACTTTTATTATGTAATTATCTTGTTTATCTCCCCGTTACGTGACTTTCCGTTGGGATGCAATTTGTACTGACCTTTGACCGGGAATTATCCTGGAATGTGTTCTATTCTTTTACGACATATTCACAAACGTATTGCTAAAAGACTGATTTCGTTGGAAAGATGTTCCCTTCGCTGCAACCGTCTTCTATGTTCTCCTGTGCTCAAATGGGATTGTCTCGATAATATCACAATAAAAATAGTAGTTATGGTAGTAGCAAAAACCGTTCATTTCAGTCCAGTCTGATAACCTGCAAGAGACGACAAATATCAGTGAATAATAACTGATACGCGTTACACAAAGGATGTCTATAGTTATTCCGTATCCAAGTTTGAGGCTATAGGTGCTGGGTTCGAATCCTAATGAGAACACCATCACGCACTAAGTTCCAAGTATATCCGTCTGATGAGTCTTAAATAGGGCGAAACGCATGCACTTGATCCAAATACTAGCCAATTAGAAAGAAATTAAATGGATTAATCTGCCGCTAAAATATTTGATAGGTGTTTGTTTGAACAAAATTTACAAGCTTGAGAAAATGAAAGAGTATAAACTACTACGGTATTGATTTCCCGTTGATATTCATCACAAACTGATACCAGTTGGAGAGACATTGGGAATCTGGGAGCACTAAACAGCTGTTTCGTCCCGCTGTAGGACTCTTCAGCTGTTTGCTCCCACGAACCAGCTAGGAGTTGAACCCAGGATCGTTAGGTTCTTCGGTCATCTTAACCTGCTTACTTGTCACCGCCAGACAGCTTTCAGGAAGCATAGATCCCCTGCCTCAATCATTGACCCATATAAATTCTCCGAAGGTTTAGAATGATGGTGACAAGTGATTAGTGTTCTTAGAAATTTGTTGTTGTTAACAGTGGTTATCTTATCATTAGGCTAGTAGACTTCCTGAGAACTTCTTCGTCAATGAGTAAACCTCCACAACTTAATATAATAAAGACGGAGAGAGTTAGAAAACATTTTCAGAAATATACATTTTTGGGTAATACTGAATTTAATCACATAACCTTGAAGAAACAAACAACTTGACATAAGATTTAAACCAGTGATTTTTGGATTGCCAATAGATTTCCAGATATCAGACAAGAGGGATGAATCAGATTGATTAGGTTGGGAATCTTCATCAACTCAGGTGGTTAGGACATGTGTTACACGTGTCTAGTCACTGTCTGCTGCTTGGAACAATGTTTTCTGAAGCAGATTTAAGCTGGTAAAAAGTTGAAGGTAGGATTACTAAACCATCGCAGTAGTTTATGAAGTCCCTGTCGATTTCTAAGTTGAAGTCAAAGTCAAAGCCATGACTGATGGTTGGAGACTGTGGGTGATGTGGCTTCGAAATGCTAGAAATGATACAGTTGCATTCATCCTTCGGCTTGATCTCTATCATCAAATTAGATTTCGTGGTTTGCTCTGACACCTACCTTTGTCTTAGTATAACTTTTGAATAACTTCGCTGATATTTTATTTTCTTTTTCGCTGGTTTTCGTTTTGCTGACTTGTAGATTGTAATACTACTTACTGGGTCTGATTGACTTTCACCAGCTAACGCCATCTGTAGCGCTGCCACGATATCTCATGATCAATTAAGAGTTGAGTGCGCTGTGCTGCAGTTTTCTCTATTCTATCATATGGCTGTGGAATATGGATATTAAAGGCAGAGAATATGATAAGTCTTGGCGTACTTAACCACCATTACCTTCATAGCATAGGCCAGTAACGCCAACAACCCAGAAGTCAGGTACAGAGTTTTAGGGGGGAGAGGAAAGTAAGTTAATAAGGTCATGAACTTTCACCGATTGAGACGTCTGATACGTGTGTTACCCATGTGTAGTCAACGTCTGCCTCGTTGCAGAATGTCGGTTGAAGTGTGTTCAGACTAAAAATAGCTCGGAACGACACCCTCAAGCATGACAACAGAAAGTCAATCCTTTAACTGCTGGTGTAACCCATGTAGGAAGATGCAGACTAGCTAGTTGGTAGTCTACGTGACAGCAGAAACCAGTGGTTGAAGACTTTAGGTGATACAGCCGAGAATCGACGTCGATAGTACAGATGTATTGAGTATTAATTTTTACCTTGGTCGTCTAACTGAATTTCAGTATTCTGTCGTTCTTTTGATGAATTTTGACACCGTTTTAACTACGATTTCCTTTTATGTCTTTCACGTTAATGAATTTTCATTTGATGCGGCTGTAAGGGATGTGGCAACTCGGATCGTCACGCAGAAATATCTTGTCCAATGCTGATTTAGTCTTTATTTCTAATCTGTTTGTCTACTAGCCAATTACATTCCAAACTTTCCTTCAGGTACTAACTGGTTTGTATAAACGTTACTAGTGAATGAAAAATTATGAATATGTAGGCATTGGGTAATTGATGTTCACTACTTTGGTATTTGTACTTCCCAATGAATATATAGCAGAATAAATCTGTTTCAACAGACATTTGGCTGTTAAGTACTTCTAATAGCCTTACCGAAGTTATGGTAAACCCCAATTTGCAATACCCCAAGCTTATATATGCTAACTTGATGAGTGTTCTTCCGCATGAATGATTATTACTCTTCAGAATTGTAGAATAAAGATGATATCCATTTCGAGTGTGTTGTGTATACTGACTGCATGAATTACACATTCACATTTGTATGCACACATATGTGTGTTGACAGCTCTTATCACCTTGATGTATGATGATTATGTCAGTATACGGGGATGGGTTGACACCAGATCAAACTACGTTCCATTCACTCATTCCTATTCAGAAAATTCTGATTCGACTTCATGTGATTGTGAGATTGTGTTGTGAGACATTCTTTATAATTTCTAATGCTTTTCTGAATAATCTCGATGTTGTCAATGAGTCGACCTGGTGACTTGAAATGATGGGCAGTAGAGATATGGCTGATATATTTTCAAGTATTTTCACTTCCACTGAATTTCTAGAAGGTCGACTGGAAACTATTCGATGTTCACTTTTTTTCTGATTTTGATTTCACACGAGGTTTACCCATGTATATCACATCACAGTCTGAGCATTTCATTTTTGAAAATGACAATTAGATTATGAATGTAGAGGGATTTCATCCTTGAAATGAATTAAGGTGCTCTGTGCAATGTGTTTGATATTCTGTGGAACACTACGATGATATTGTATTTGTTGAACACTCTCCTAATATCATTCAATGTATGTGATCTGTAAGGGGTAACCACTTATTGTTGAGGCGCATGATTTAGGAGTAGTTTCATGATGTAATTTAATGTTATTTCCCTATTTTATGAATAAATTTCACTGGATAATTATTCATTTTAAGTACCCTGTTCACATATTTTAATTCCTTAACTTATCCGTTACAAGAGTGTGTGTTCTCCTTAAGAGACTGGAAGCAACAGAAACTCTCACACTAATTGAATGTGATGAGTTGAAGTTTAAATATTTGTTCGAATCCCTTGCTTTCCTGGAAATGATTATACCTAGATGTTCATTTCTTTCCGCTTAACAAGACAATCAAGGAGAGGTAGTTCTCCCCCCCGTTTTCCGTTTCTATTTCTGAGTTGAGGTTGGTACTGGGAGATCTTAAGTTCAGTTGATCTAACAATCCCTGGTATATGTTGCGTTTTAAAATTACGACTATATCTTCAACATATCTCAGCCAAAAGTTTGGCTGTAGTGAGTAAGTTAAGACACTTCGAATTTAATCATAAATAGGTTAGCTATTATGGGTAAAACAGGTGAACCTATAGCAACACCGTTAGTGTGTAAAGTAAGAAGTCTTTAAGCAGAATTATAGGGCTAGACATTCTTAGATGAACTGAACTTCAACTCAGAAATAGTAACAGAAAACGGGGGGGGGGGAGAACTACCTCTCCTTGATTGTCTTGTTAAGCGGGAAGAAAATGAACATCTAGGTATAATCATTTTCAGAAAAGCAAGGGATTCGAACAAATATTTAAACTTCAACTCATCACATTCAATTAGTGTGAGAGTTTCTGTTGCTTCCAGTCTCTTAAGGAGAACACACACTCTTGTAACGGATAAGTTAAGGAATTAAAATATACACATACATTGAATGAAATTAGGAGAGTGTTCAACAAATACAATATCATCGTAGTGTTCCACAGAATATCAAACACATTGCACAGAGCACCTTAATTCATTTCAAGGATGAAATCCCTCTACATTCATAATCTAATTGTCATTTTCAAAAATGAAATGCTCAGACTGTGATGTGATATACATGGGTAAACCTCGTGTGAAATCAAAATCAGAAAAAAAGTGAACATCGAATAGTTTCCAGTCGACCTTCTAGAAATTCAGTGGAAGTGAAAATACTTGAAAATATATCAGCCATATCTCTACTGCCCATCATTTCAAGTCACCAGGTCGACTCATTGACAACATCGAGATTATTCAGAAAAGCATTAGAAATTATAAAGAATGTCTCACAACACAATCTCACAATCACATGAAGTCGAATCAGAATTTTCTGAATAGGAATGAGTGAATGGAACGTAGTTTGATCTGGTGTCAACTCATCCCCGTATACTGACATAACCATCATACATCAAAGTGATAAGAACTATCAACACACATATGTGTGCATACAAATGTGAATGTGTAATTCATGCAGTCAGTATACACAACACACTCGAAATGGATATCATCTTTATTCTACAATTCTGAAGAGTAATAATCATTCATGCGGAAGAACACTCATCAAGTTAGCATATATGAGGTTCCATAATAAACGGCAATCGTGTTTTTTAGAGGCAGCTTACAATGAAACTTATGTAACTTTCTAGATCGGTGTACCCAGTAATTCGGTCACTTAGGAGTAACTAAGCTACTTCTGCTCTGAATTCGATCACAGAGTGAGTCACTGTTGTCCTTAATAACACAGTAATAGAATGTCTAACTTTATCAATGAGTGACACATTGATTTCAATCACTCAGGGAACAGGAGTTTCATCACACTTCCAGACCTATCTGTGAATCAAGTTGAAATATTTGAGACTAACAAGTATATATCATCAATTTATATTTTATGAAACTGATAAATGAGTAATAATTACCTGAACCATTTCCGATGGTGATGCTTTGAACAATTCCACATATCTATCACCTAAATAGTCTTTATGACGTGTTAACGCTTTTGTCGCAACATAATCATCATAGAATAACACAAATGCATCACCAGTTGGACGTCGATCAAGATAACTAACCAAATATATTCCTTGTTCATCCAGCATTACCTGTGCTTGAACAGCTTTAAAGAATTCCACCTGAAATATGTTCAAAAACCAAACTGCATAAACAGAAGGAGAATGAGTGAGAGAAACTTTTCAGAACAGGCAGATGTTCGTTTCTCATTCTAGATATCAATGCCTGTGAAAGTGTTTCATCAACTGGATATCACTACTAATCTCATTAGCATAACTTGCCTATAGGTAAATTTCATTTCTCATTCACCATTGATAGATCCTGATAGACACCAAAACAGGTAGATATAGCACCATATGATTATAGCAAGAGATTTTGTTTAAGATTGTTGCTAAGCCACACATAAATACATACACACAATACGGTAGCCATAATTGTTCATGTAAACACTGTTTATATCATCCACTTGCATGCATGTGTGTATATCTGTACGGATACACCCATTGAAAAGGAAAAACAAAATGTAAACAGAAAGGAAAAACAACAACACTATCACCTTTGAGTGAATTAATCACCATAGGGAAGCAAATTATAAGTACACTTGGCTTTTGATTTCTTGTCTCATTCCAGTTGCACTAATGGTTGTCCACCATTGTGTGTGTGTGTGAAAGCTGGTGAAACTTGGATTCCAAAGTAAATCATTGTCATGGTAATAAGAAGAAAATGTGTAACACAAATAATACCCATAACCATAAGAATAACAACAAAGAGGCAACCAATCAACTCAATTTTCATGAATAGAAAGAACAATCTTAGTGTAGTATAAGGGTTTTTGTGTGATAACGTCGTTGATTGGACCGAATTGATCGGTCTGTATTAGCATATGGGCTCCTGTGCGGATGCCTCGATATTGCCCGTAATCTAATTATGTTAATGATGGATCGTGGCTAGCAGTGGAATCCAGGATGCACGTTTCGTCCCATTTTGGACTCGTCAGCACAAAAAGTGGCTGTTGTGGCTCGGTGGTGTAGTGAATCACGCGCTGGAGTTTGAAGCGGTCGCTCCCGAGTGCGAATTCCGGTGGGAACAACACTTACTGGGAGGCAGGAGCATCCACCTGACGAGTCCCAAATAGGACGAAATGCGCATTCTGGATCCTACTGCTGGCCACTATCCATCATTAACACAATGTTGGCGTAGCTTTATTGCTAGTTATAGGTTGTAAACCTCTGTCATTGATTGGATCGAATTCATTGTCGACTATTGACATACTGTCTCCTGGATGGATGCCACGATATTTCCAGGGTTTTTTTCAACCTACATATTATTGAAGGAAAGTGGCTAACTAACAGTGGATGGAATTCGGGACATGTATCTCATCATATCTGGGAATCGTCATCTTTATGTACCTGCCTCCCAGTGAGTGATGTTGTTTCCAGTGGGACTCGAACCTAGGACTGATCGGTCCAAACATCCACTAGGCTAGTGAGTCCCGACAGCTGAATAGTCTCAAATAGGACGAAACTAAAGTTCTGAAATCCACTACTGGCCGCTGGTCACCATTCAAAGCTTAATGTAAACACCAATACAACAGCGTTGGAATTCAGTTAATGGTGTGTAGGAGCTAATTGACTGCTTTTTCGTTCTTACCGCGGATTGAAGCTTGTTGGAAACATTGGAAAACTGTTTTATACAAGACAAAGACTCTTCCTCTTCCTAATAATGCATACCACAAATTGAGTTGCTAAATATCCAGTACTCATTGTCAGTTTGTTACAGGATGAAGGTGGCGTTATATCTCAAGTTGATAGATGTAACAAAATGCTGACCATGGATTCCCAACCAAGTGGTTGGATGGTAATGTGCTTGTTGCAGAGCCTGATAGTCATTCATACCATCCCTCACGAGAATCAGCGTGTACACAGGTGAGGAGTCCTATACTGGGACGAGTCATCTCTCTAGTGCTCTAAGGTTTCTAACAGTCCTTACCCCCCTCCAACTGATATCAGTCTTAACATTTAGGTATAGACAGGCCGGGAAATGTAGTGACGGGACCCTTCAGCTAGCTTTACCATCTGTTTGCACTCTTCAACCAATTTATCGAAATCATGCTGCTTTAGAGACTTGAAGCCATAACACGAGTCATTCAGCAGTAATTCAGCTGACAGTAACACTCTGTGGCATGCTTAGAGTCTTTAAGATAACACGGGCTACTTCTCTTGATTTACCAGTTACACCTTACTGGCAGGTGTTGATGAACACGAAGGCTGCCTGCTAATGCATGACTTTACACCCACTATCTCCAACCACCTGTTGTATAAGAGTCAAGGATACTAATTGGTTGCCCAAACTTCGGTAGATAGAACGGTGTTCGAACTCAAGGCCCATCGGTTGAAAGCAATCTCTCTAAATTAATGATGCACATCAACTTCTGTTACTCCGACCAAAATCAGACCACCAAATTGTGTACAATCGCTTTTACAGTATTATTTACGATGGTAATAAAGAAAATTACGTTATGCTATCTTTCTAAGATCTTTCTCCATTCAGCTTCTCAAAAACAACCTATTTGTAAAATAAGTTTGCCAATGCATGTGTAACAGGGTTGAAGTGATATTCATAAGTGTACTTATTTCAAGTTTCACGGCTTTCAGTCGTGTCACTTAGTGGGATGGTCATATGGTAGACTTGATCTATAGACTTTGGGCACTGATGAGCAATAAACACTACTCAGCTTCATCGGTTAACTCCTGGTGATTCAATCGCATATTTTCAACGGCATTTGAAACATAAGATGCAGCATGACTGTCTAAACAACTGTAGGGTTTACTAAGCATAATATTGTCATTCCACCCTGAACTTATACAAGCAGCGATGAAAACTAAATTCTGGGAAAAAGCCAACTTATTGGTATCTAAGTTTATCTGCTGACCAAATTCAATGGATCAGTTGGCGGTTTGATCACCAAGCGTACTTTGATTGACGTTAGTTGAATGGAAGCGATTGGTAAGAAGCCCCACTTAACTTAGATTTGGTGTTTGTTGGCACTCCTCAGTGACGACTAGATTACATGAAATCAGTTACTTTCTGTTCACTAATCAAGTCCTATAGGGGGTCAGTTGGTGAAGTTTATTAACCATGCATTTAGTGACGTGGCTTTGTGCCTGTGAGAGGGCACCAATCCCGTCTTTCTTGCATCTATGGCTTGTTGACAGGCTCTAACATGCAGGTATCGCTTCCTGCTTGTTGCCTCCACGTAACACCGGTAAGAACTATTTTTTAGCTTCGTATTACTGCGACCATCTTGTGCGCCGCTTTATAGTGGCCACGAGTAGGATCCAAAAATCGCGTTTCGTAATGTTTAGGACTCATCAACGACATGGTGTTCACAATGAGATCCAAACCTACGACTAACTGCTCTTAACACCGAAGCACTAGGCACTAGGGTGCTGAGTTACAATAAGCAGTCACTGTGAAGAACGTGTGCTGGATTATGTTGACTCAATCTCCTTCTTAATGCTTTTAGTATTTCACAATGAAGTCATATATTTGCATCTACATAAATAAAGTAGGTTATTGCATCTTCTTACTGTTTTATTGTGCTAAAATGCTTGTCTAGATCCCTGGTGACTGGAAGGTAATTTTTGATATTTTCAGAGAGGCAAGGTGATATTTTTTACCATGTCAACCTTTAAAATTACAACTTTATGGATAGTAGTGACTTTTTATTTGCTGCCAACGTGGTCAGTGACACTAGCAGTGTGTGTCTGCGGTACCGAGTGTTAAGGTAATCTTCATAGTTCAGCTACAATTCTGTGTATTAGCGCTGAGAATCAGAAAAACGTGGATTCTCATCTTTTTCTTCCAACCACTATACTTCATAATATTTTGGCTTGATGATGTCTTATATATCCTGGTAAGATGAATGATTTGTGCTCTTTTAGTTACTTTTCTTTATCTAGAGTTATGTAGTTTTAAATTTACGGGGATTTTATTGGTTCCAAGGTTGTATTCATCTCTGACTGCCATCAATTGGGGAACCGCTGACAACCTGGATGCATTGGACAACTGTTCCGGTTTAATGTGGGACTGCTCATTAGTGCGCACCCACGACTCCACCAGCTAGTAGTCGAACTAAGGACTTTCAGGTCCCATGGTGAACACCAGCCACCAGGTCCGATTCGAATGGTTCATACTTACCTACTTCTGTCAATTCGCGATATAGCACAACTATCCACCAAATTTTTCAATCTGCACCCACTTCATTTCTAACTGGTTAACTCCACATATCACTTCGGGATATCCATCTCAAAGCATGTAAGTCATTAATAAGCATTATACAGTAATGCAGCCTGAAAGAAGATAGATCTCTTCATTCCAACACAGTTACATATATCAAGGTTCGGACCCAGGATCTACTGGTTGAAAGTCAAATGCCAAGATGAGTGAACCATCGTTCCACACTTCGGAATTAGTTTCCACTGCTCTGGGACACAAGTTTGTGGAAGACAGTCGAGGACGGAAAAGAACACTACTAATATAAGTATCCAGAACTGGTTACAGATTCACTACATATCGGTACTTGTAATTTCCCCCGTTGTACTAGATCGATTTCATTGATCTCTGTTGGATTATGGGAGGCTATGTGGATGCCCCAATATTGACAAAAGATCCATCATGTTATAAGTTGCTTGGTGGTAGCTAGCAGTGGTCTCCAGAATGAGCGTTTCGTCATGTTCAGGGCTCATCGACTGGATATACCTGCCTTTTAGAGAGTAATGTTGTTCCCAGTGAAACTCAAACCTTACACCTATCGTTCTAAACGCCAGATTGTTTCCCACTAAGCTATTGAGAGATGAGAGGCTTTTCAGAAGTGGAATGAATCTAGATTATGCATCATTCATAATGATAACCCTGTAGTTAAATTAAATAATCCATGTAAATTAATAGCCTGTTTCCCAAAATGGTGTTGTATAATTTTTTGAAATATCCTTACATTTACCTAGACTTCATTTTAGCGTCTTAACTGAAGGAAAACAGAAGTATCTATTCTACAAAATGTTTCTACAGTAATTTGTAATTGATTTATTAGAAAAGCTTGATCGAAACAGGTTATGTATTTCTATAGTAGCTAAGCCAATCTGAAGGCAGGAAATAACGAAGTATCTTTTTACTCAAGGAACCGATTACTATATGCCAACAAAAACTGATGATAAACTCATTCATGTGTGAAGACGGCAGCAATAGAGATAAGAAAAAACCCCAGAAACAATACTTATGTCTATTTTGAGCACGGTATAGCTATCTTAGCTCAATAGGTTAACGGATAAAGCTCTGAAACTTGAAGTGAGAAGTTCTGGGTTCGAGTCCCGGTGGGGATATCAACAGCCTGTGATGTAGATCCTATCAGACCGATGAGTCCTAAATAGGCTGAAATGTTCAAGACAAAGGGATTATCTGTTCACCAGGAATTAATAAGAATTCTCGAAAGATTATTTTACTATCATCAAATATGTTCACTTCAGTGCACTTAATCTAGATTCTATTCTCAAAGAAATGAATTTGTGAAAAATAATTCTGAGAAGCAGTTTGATAGAAAGTAGTTATTCAAAAAGGAAAATCAACATTTGAAGCTATTCACCATTGAGGTAGAAGTTTTGACCTTCAAGTTGGTTGGTGCTACAGCGAACCAATCAGAACAATTTATCAAGTCTTTTCTCAAACGTACTTTAATATACATGAAAACCGTATAAATAAGATTCTTTTTTGCCTAAAATGCAACGTTCTAGCAGTCACATGTTAGTATTTGTCTTCTAATGGTTTCGTGACTCATAGAATCAGTCGTTGTTCCCGATTTGGTTACCAACCTCTGGAAACCGAGTTATCTAGTTTCCAATGGTATCTGAGTGTGTCTTCTAGGTAGCAACCATTTTTTTTATAGCTATTATTGATACTGGGTTTTAACAGAAAGTGGGACAGCAACCTTGGTCACTACAGAATTCGAAGTAGGATATTGGCCAAGTCGGTACTGTACCAGCTGAGCTATAACACACAGCTGTTGACCAAGTCGTAAGTTCACTTTAGTCAACGAAAGCTTCAATCAACTACCATGTAATAGATAACTTTACGTTCATCGTAATCGCGCCAGTTACCTAGACAGGTCACCTCTGATTTGTGGAATCCAGTTTTCTTTGTCTTGTTCTTCAGTCTTCTTCATGTTGCATTCGTTCGCAACGTTCGTCACGTAAACTCAAAATTGTGATTCCTAGACGTTTCAGTCAACTAAAGCCCTGGTTCCTAGTTTACACAAATTTTACAGACATCAGACTCTTTCGTCTAAGTATGAACAAAAGCTGTAAGATGCTACTGAATATTGAATAGGGTGATTTAATGGTTCCAATAGTCGTAAAGTTACTTCTAACTTATAAATTGATTTCAGGTTGAAATTCATCCTTGACTGACATAAGTTAGGGGAACACTAGAGGCCTTTGAGCACTGGACAGCTGTTTCGTCCTAGTATGAGACCCCTCAGAAGAACACATCCCCAACCCCTCCAGAGACTTAACCCAGGACTTACAGGTTCTGTGGCCGGCACGTTACCATTGTGCCACTGAATGGGAATTCACTGGTCATGTTACCAACGTCTATCAGTTCACGACACAGCGCAACCACTGCCCAATATTTGTCCTAACGTCCACCAGGTTTGGTTCGTCGGTCATGACTTCTCATTGGAACTTCAGCAATCACCTTTCGAAGCTAGTCACCAATGAGCACTAGCTCACTTTGATTTTGAGGTTTGCGGGGATTTATTGATTTCAGATTGGAATTCATCATCAATTAACGTGAGTTGGAGGAATATTGGAAGCCTGGAAGCACTGAAGAGTTGTTTCGTCCTAGTATGGGACTCCGCAGCGGTGCGCACAAATGACCTCGCACCAACAGGGACCGAAGCCAGGACCTTCAGGCTCCGAGGCCAGCATGTTACCATTGCGCCACTATGTCGGAACACAATGGCCCATATTCCCAAATTCTGTTAGTTCACGACATAGCACAACCTCCATCCAATGGCGTCGCTGAGTAACTGTCTTCATGTTTGACTTGGTTGGCTCCACTGGCCACGACGTTTCGTCAGAACTTCAGGATTCACCTCTCGAAGGTAGTCACCAATGAGCGCTAGATTAACTCAATTTGGAAGTTTGTGGAGATTTTGTTGATTGATTATAGGTTGGAATTATGAATTCCGACCCACTGGCTCAATGGTAACGTGCTGGCCACGGAACCTGAAGGTCACGTATTCGGTTCCTGGTAGGGTCGTGGGTGCACACTGCTGAGGAGTCACATACTAGGAAGAAATAACTGTCCGGTGCTCCCAGTGTTCATCCAACTGATGTGAGTCTACGATGAATACCAACTTGGAAAATCTCTAAATCCCCACAAACCCTCAAATTCAATTCTCCAATCCCGTTGTCTTTATATCTTGTCTAAGGTATGACCTGCGGGCACACACACAAATACAAACGTACTAAATGTGGCTGAGCCCCTGTACTTCATACCGACGAGGTGCACACTGACACACACATATTGATGCAAAATCATGACATATATGAATTTTAAGAGACTGATTAAACAACAAGAAGAAGCAAAACGGTGGAAAAGATGCACACACACAAATAGACACGTACAATGTCACCAGGAAAGAGAAAAACTGTATTTATCACTATAGTTACATAACTCATCACAACTTCAAACTGAATGTTACCTTTCCTAAGAACATCCTTAGGCAAATAATACATTTCACCATTACATTTAACTTTTAATGTCAGTTATACACAGTAAAACAAAAAAACAACACTTGTTTCCTTTATTTTTGCTCATGTGTGGACGTGTGGAACGTGAGTATATATATATATATATACTAACCGGTGTAAATGCACTGAGACATCAGTGGACGCTATTTCACTGAAAAACAATGGTAGAGAGAGAGAGAGAGAGAGATTGTGCGTACGTGTGTGTCTGTGCAAAACAAAATAAACTCAGAGTGAATACTGGGTGATGGTTGAAAGTGAAGTGAGAATTTGAACCGCGGCCGAATTCGAACCAGAGACCACCGGGTTTCCAGCCCTATGCTCTACCAACCAGTGGTCGCCAGTTCGAATCCGGCAGTGGTCCAAATTTTCATTTCACATTCAATTATCACCCAGTATAAATACTATTCTGCTAAACTATCGCTAGACAAAAAATGATAATCACAGTGAATACAGTGATGAGGAAGCACGATAACAAATACTGATTTATGATTTCAGAAATCAGACCAACTATTATGTAAAATATAGATAACTGTAGTAAGCAATGAGCCAAACACCTATTCTATGAGGGCTAAAAGTAACACCTGGGTGCCTAAATAGAGATATTTAGAGTGGGGTTCATACCCATGATCTGTTGGAAAGAAATCAACTGCCTAGACCACTGAGCCAAAGCTTGACATTTCGAAACATTATGATAATAAATGTTGCCTACGTATCACCTGATAAACTGGTCTTCTTTTCATCCACCCAGATGAAAAACATATAGTGGAAAGGAAGTTCCTTTCATTGATTATTCATAACACTTACAATCTGTTTCTTGGTAGTTGTATACGGTAGGCCACGTACACGTACGACAACTTGTTCTCCATTTTTCAGTTGATTTAAAAAGCTTGTTACACATTCTTGATCACCTGAAAATAGTGAACAAAGAAAGATATATATATACCTGTCAAAACTAACGATCGAATGATGACAAACATAACACCGTGCATCACCAGCATAACACTCGTAAACTAAGTTCATAGTGTAACTGCTGATTTATAGGGACTGATGAATTCTAGAGTAATTTTCATCACCGACTGACATCAGTTAGCAAACCGCCAAAAATCTGAAAGAATGAGACAGCTGTTCCATCCTAATTCGAAAATCTTAAGCAACATGCTCGTGAAAACCCAGAAGGGATTGAGCCTAGGATAGTCAACTTTAGCAGAGATTATGTTACCATCTGTTGACATCTCCTAGATTCTGTTGACTCATGACACAGCACTACCATCATACTGATTCATTAGTGAATAACTTTCTTCATTCCCAATTTGGATCACTTAAAATGTCACAACTTCTCACTAGAGTTTGGAGAAATTCGTCCACAAGATAAGTTGTAAACAAGCAGTGAAATTTATTCCAGCTGAAGGTTTGTGTGAATGTATTCATCTAAAAATAGTTTTCATCACACGTAGATCTCAGAATATGGTCGAAATGTAATTCCTGAAGTTTTAACAAGAAGTCATAGGGTCAGCCAAGTCGTGAATTAAGACAGTTACTCACTGATGATATTAGATGTAGATGGCAATGTATTGTGAATCGACAGAATTTTTACCAATAAGTGTAAACCCAGTGGTTTAATGAGAAAATACTCTCCACGAAAATGAACTATTGTGGGTTTTATCCTTACAGGTTCTTGAAGCGTACCAAACTAGAATGAAACACATGTACCTTACTCCCAAGTTTCTGATGTTTTTCCAACTAATATTCATTCATGGTGGATTTACTAGGAATGGTTAAACTGTTGAGCCTGGATGTTTTCATTATCGATGGATGACTTTGACTCTGGAATGGTTATGCTTACATCCGAAGAAAAACATTTTCTCGGTTTATATACAATTTGATCGTCGGATGGTACCAAAGTCTACTTACCTTAACGACCGTGGTACGTCTATCAGTCACCAAACTTCCACTGACCATACTATAGAAACTAAGTATTCAGTTGACTTTAGTCTAACAACTAATTTTTCAGAAATAAATCCAATTTTACATTACGCTGGCTTTTGAGTTCATCTCTGTATGATACACAGATGGATTTACTGAAACCAGTTAGTCTGATTGAAATTCTGGTGAATGAACACAGGTGAGCAGTTTTACATTAAGATCTGACCACCAATTTCTGTCAACTAGGTTGGATCAAATACTTCCGTTCCCAAGTAGAAGTTTGACATGATGTGTAATAAGAAGACGAAATTTTGAGGGGGTTGTGGGGAAATATAAATATTTCAAGCCGTTAACCATCGTAGACTGACATCAGTTAGAAGAACGAAGGGAACTTGGGAGCACTAGACAGCCGTTTCGCCCTAGTATAGGGCTCCACAGCAGTGCCCACCCTCTACCCCGCCAGGGATTGAACCCGCGACCTTCAGGTTCCGTGGCCAGGACGTTGCCATTGAGGCACTGGGTCAGAATCCAGTGGTCCATATTTCCAACTTCTGTTAGCTCATGATATAGCGCAACTGCCACCGAATGTCATCGTTGAGTAACTGTCCTCACGACCATCAGGCTTTGCCCCTACCGGTCATGACTTCTCATTGAAACTTCGGGAATACCTCTCGAAGCTAGTCATCAATGAGCACCAGTTCAATTAAATTTTGAGGGGGTTGTGGGGATTTGGAAATATTTCAACTTGTTATTCATGGTAGACTGACATCAGTTGGAGGAAAGGTTAGATCCCTGGCGGGGTGGAGGGTGTGCACTGGTGAGGAGTTCCGTACTAGGACGAAATAGCTGTCCAGTGCTCCCACGTTTTCATTGTTCCTCCAACTGATGTCAGTCTACGATGAATAACAACTTGAAAAACGAAGTTTATCTGAACAATGTGTGATATGTTTGCGCAATATACAGCCGATGTCCCATCAGAAGATAATAGGAAATTGGAAGCAAAAAGTAACCGCTAGTATAGTAAAGCTTTTGAATATGAATGCTGTTAGCAAAGAGGAATTTAATTCATTGAAAATTATCAGATGTGAATTTCTAAATTCATACGGACTACCTAAGATTCTTAAAACTATCCATCCTTTAAGACTTATATTGTCTATGTATCGTCCTCCCATAAATAAACTGACGAAATTGTTGACAAAAATATTCAATGAACTTCGAGATGAATGGTATAAGTTCTCATTAAAAGATACATTTCAGCTTGTTGACTATCTTAGTAATATGAATATTAAAAACTAGACTATGTGCTCTTTCAATGTGAATTCTTTATTTACTCACGTGCCATTGTCCAAGATTATTAACATTCTATGTGACTCTATATGTTCTGGAAACCTGCCATTTCTTATTACTTCAACTTTTCTGGGAAGACTATTATTACTGTGTACAGACAATGTTTATTTCACATTTGAAAGTGAACACTTTCGACAAATTGACGGTGTAGCGCTACGCGTAATCCTTTAGGACCATTACTAGCTGATATTTATATGTCATCTATCAAAAATCTGGCTGGTGATCTCATTGTTAAAGTTTCTTTTAACAACAGACATGTTGATGACATCATAGTGATTTATGAGAGGCATGAAGATACGATTTGTCTACCAAAAAGACCGTACAAACCCACATCAACCTGACTTACCATTCTTAGACATACTCCTGAGTTGACAGGAAGATGGTTTAATAAGATGGGGAGTTTACAGAAAGCTTACATGCACAGGACAATACAAGTGAGGTCTAGTAAAATGCCTGTTTAATAAGATCTATTGTATCTGTACATCAGATACAATAGAGGAAGATATCAAATTGCTGACCAAAACAGATAGCAAACAAAGCCAACTCTATACATGGTTTTTAAGAGAAGCGAACATATCACTCTACTACACGGAGGTCAGTTGAATAGTGTCATTTAGAGACGTAAGCTAACATCAGCCATTAAGAAAACGTATTACGCAGCGAATCTTATCATTGTGGAGAAAATAAAACACATGCTTCACCAAAAACCTAAACAGTGCATCAGTGATTACGTCATATCCCATTGTGTTTACCAATTTGCATGTGTGTGTATAGTCACACATACATAGGGAGGAGTAATCAAGTCATGCAGTTGAGGGTGGGAGAACATATGCCTAAATGGCTTCAAAAACAAATGGAGTGTGAAACCATGATGCAGAGTGGTGGGAGACGACCCTCTTTATCTATAGCTAAATATATCATAGAAACAGGTCACAAAGTTTTATATAGAAACAGTAAGGACTCAGACTACTGAGATTTGCAGGAGTGATAGCCGTATACAAATTGAAACCACCTTTATGAGCACAAAAACAGTTTGTTATTACACTACACCTACCTTAGTAAAGTTTGTTTTCTTGCCAAGATTATTATCAACTAGGTCACTTCTTGTTTGTTCTCATCTTTTTAATTTTAACCCCTAATTGGTTATATTTTTCCTTCCACTCTTAGGTTTATACAAATTGATTGGACAAGTAGTGTATGATCAGACTGTTCGAAATATATTGCTCAAATACATCCACAAAATGTTCAAATAAATTTCATCTTCCAATTACTTTATCGAAATTCAAAAAAGGGAGTAACTGTTTCACATTTCAATTTGTTCTCATGTGATCTCAGGGATGTTAGTTTATCTAATGAAGAGGATAATTTATCTCTATGTTGTTTCCGTGTCTAGAAATGTTCCACTAACAGAAACTTCATTAAGTACTATAAGATAAACATTGATAGCCTAAATGACTACCTAAATCACCTTTTTCTAAGCTGTACTTTTAACATTCAATTCAGATTTAACAGAGAAATCTGCTGGCAGATAGATGGTGTGACGATAACATCACCTTTATGACCCCTCTTACCTCCATGCCAAATGGTAAGTTTGCAGAACACTACCTTGTGAACAATAGTCAATGAGCTTCATATCTCTTCCAAAACTTTCAATGGTAATCATCCACCTATTAATACCACTTTGAAGGAGATTCAAAATCAAAATTCCACTTACTTGATGTCTAACCTCAAAGAAAAGACGGTAATTCAGTCCAGAGATCTGCTTACAGAAAGTCCGCTTCAATTGGGCAGTTTATTAATTCCCAAGTTTGTTTCTTTCAAAGCAGAAAGAAGAGTCTTATCAATTCACTGTTCTCAAGAATCAGAGAAATATAAAGAATGGATACCATCAGTGATGAGCTAAACAGCCTGTGGAAAATTCTGATGGGAAATGGATACTCGCCGAAATTTATAAATAAGACACATTGTTTCAAAAAAGAATTTACTGTTAAACCTCCTCTTTAAGGATAACAATGTGGTGAACATCTTCAGGAAAGGAATGTCAAGAATCATAAACTGAATATTTTTTGCCACCAATCTCTGCATCTCATTCTCTAGTCAGACACTCACTGATCCGTATGTGAAGAACAAACTGGAGCTTGTTTGTACATCAGTTTGCTTGCTGCTGTGAAGTGGAGTTTATCAGGTATACGGTACAACAGCTTACAAAAGGCACTTGTGGACATTAACCAATCCGCTTGACAAAGAGGACGGAAATGCATCTCCGGCTACGTAAAAGACGCCTTTTGATAATTCTATCACAGTTTTTTTACAAAATGTGATAAAGCCATCCAAAAGGAGTAACGTTAAGACATATAGGCGTAGCTGAAACATTAACAGTTGAAAAGATCACACCACTAGTTTGCGTTTAAAGGAAGTACTTGTAACCATCTTAAAGGATTTAAGATTCCAGATAATTCCTTCATGATATGAATATATTTCACTTCTTCATTATTTGTTTATTTCCTTACTCTTAAATCCTGGATGTATTCAGCAACATTGAATTTTGGTGAGAGATTATTCCAGAGTATTTCATCTTTTCCAATCTTTGCTCTTCAATCGATAGAACTGACTTACTCCTACTTTATAAGTTTTTATGTTACTGTGGAATAAAATGGTTTCATCTCATCTTCCTTCAGTACTTCAACTTTAGACAAAATATATTAGATATGAAAATAAAATGAGACACCGCTTACATCCAGTACACTGAACAAATTCTCTTCCAGTAGCAGGATGAATCTGTAGGAACATCGGTCTGACAGCAGTTATACCTGAAGATTGCTGCAAGGTATCCATCATCGGCCACTCATTTCGACTGTTATTGTTCGTAGTAATATTATTGGTGTACAATGGTAGACTATATACATCTGATGCATTATTTACAATCTCTGTAACCAATGAACCACATAGTTGATGCTGATTCCTCGCTATGGCTAGTTGAGCATTTATCGAATTGTCAAAGGCTACAATAGCTGTATTACTCCGTCGTCCATCTGTTAAACGAATAGCCACACCACCAGGAGATACATTCAAACCAGCGAAATAGTGTGCTATTGTAGCTGGTGTTGCAGTCCATGGAACTTGACGTACTTCAACAACTTGACTGTCGTCTATTTTCAACTTACGTGAACTAAAACAATAGTAAAATTACAATGCAGAAGGATCAAAGTATGTTTTGCTTGAAAAAGAGTACAAAGTTATAACAGCATTGCCGAATGCTTCAAAGATACTCGAAAGCAAAATCTAAACCCTAGCTTGACGCATAGACTCGTATTAACATATTGAAGACTATGACACAACCTAGACTTGTTGAAAGCGACAAATCTAGTTAGAAATTTCGTGATAAATATTGCTGAATGTAGCTAGATGTTCTTTTGTTTATTGCTAGTTTTCAAAGTGAAACTGGTCAACTCGATTTGAGTATATCAGCTACTTTCACGTCTGATAGTATATTACTTCCAAATGTGTCATCAACCTGCCACATAGCAACTACCACAGGAATTCAAAAGGCATGTTTAGTTGTGTTTCGGTCTAGTTACCTGATTATGCATACCCTTGATGTTTATCGTCCTATCGAGACTGAAGTCTGATAACTAACTTTCACAACGATCTCCCAAGTGCCAATAACTACTGGGATGCAAGCAGTTCTAGGAGAAAAGTCTTAAACGGGGAGAATCACTTTCTCGGGACTCTTTTATGTACCATCATCGAATGTTGTTACAATTTTGTCGTTGAATATAAGGAATACTGCGTACTATGAAAGTAGCTTCTGCTACGACTAACTAGACAAACTCTTCTAAGTAACTGCAGTTTCAATGCAGTAAATATATACAGAAACGAACCAAAGGTTCCTCAAGAGCTACTTCCATACGTATGTCACATCTTAGAGTATACTGCTGGTTAGTAGAAACACGGTTCAATAAAGACAGCCTTCAAATGCTTTATCCGCTATGTCAAACTAAAGGCCTCAACAGTGACTCTTGGTTGAAGTTGAATAGTTTTCTTATGGACGAAAAAACTTCAGAAATCGTTAGGCGAGAATGCGAACAGTTTATTTCGCGTATCACCTATGTTGAAACCAAGGTAACTACTTTGTATTGCATGAACGTTGCAGGATCTCAAAATCCCCTACCAAACTATCGTATTAATGGAGATAGCGTGTTCATTAGTATCAGCCTTTATCTGTTTTCATTCCAGTTATAGACAGTGTTTGTGGGGTAAATATCCAAAATTTTGTAGGCAAGAAATGTCTGCAGTTTCGACAGCGTTTCGTGGTTTTTCTATCCTTTTTTCCTGAAGTTTAAGTTCGTTTTTTGGTGGCTACTTATATTTTGTTTAAGTAGTAGACTGGATGTTCAAAACGTTTCTGTCGATTTCTTTCTCCATCAGGAGTATACATTAATAAACAAAGCCCCCCCAAAGTGAAACTCTATTGTTGATAAGTTAGTTAGGAATAATTATCAGTTTTAAAATAATATGAAAAGTGATAGATAGTTGGAAAAATCAAGATGGCTGATTTCATTCCTAGGTGAAAACTATGGTAAACGAAATGAAAATGCCAAGTAGTTAACAGTTTGGCCTTACTCATTAGTCACTATGCCCTTGTGTTTCTAACAGCATAACCGTTAGTCTGAATTTTTCGTAGAACTAGGCCTGTCTTATAAATTTACAAACACACAATTAGCCGAAGGAAATTGGGTGTCATTTGCATGCTGAATACAAACTCAAAAGCAGTACATTTCGGTAAACTAACGGTCAGTCAGTGTAAGAAGGAAGCCTGTTTGAACATCTTCTGAACATGCACACTGATGCCATATGTTTGATTATGTAAGGATATATATTGCCAAGCAAAGGAGAATAGAGTCATTTCTATCCAACTCTTCCTAGTTAATGAAATAGATCAAAACTTGACTATAGTTCTCTCGTCTGTATAGATAACAGTCATTAGTAAAAGACCAACAAATTTTAGCTATCAGATTGAATTAAAAGTTGATAAAAATCACTATAGAGTAGTTCAGCGCGGAAAATCATTTCAAACTTGGAAGAAGAATAATAACCTGAGCAAATATAGTTAACTAGGGAATAGATAAGCTTATATTTAACAAGACATGGCTAATTCATAACTTCTGAAGCCTTTTATCAATAAACAGGATATTTTTGCAGACCATGTTTACACTACAAGATGAAACCCTTGCTGACTAAACACTTGCCTTCTTGTAAGGCCAATATAGCCACTTCCACGGGAGATGTTAAATCACCTATGTAGAAACTTATTTCCTCATGGTCATATACTAAGTTAACTTAGTGTTGTAAGGGTAAGTAAACTAAGACACCAAATTTTTTTCTTCCTTCCATGTTTTCTGAGCGACCAAATATGACACAGACTTTTATTTCAAGTGAATGTTTCACTGAAAAAAACTACATTTCCATAACTAAACCGCACTATCATACCAAAGGTTTAATTAAAGGAATCTAGATAGTGGGTGATGAATTGCCTGAAGTAGTTTTTTTTAAAAAACTCAAATTGCGCGGTAGAAAAAATAATTACCACATTAAAACAAATCCACTTTTAAAGTGGTATATTTTTTCCACCAGAAACAACACATCTCACTGATTTTCATATGAGTTACAAACTACTCAGGCAGAGCTCAAAAATCAGAAAAACTGACCAACTATTAGTTAAAGATATCGTGGTGACTTACACCATCGTTGATAGACACTGAAGAGTGAATAACGATGTCACTGTAAAGTGAATAGTTTCATGTTGTTTGGTTCTAGTTGCTGACTCAATTCTACCAATTATTCTGCAGTGTGACTCTTGACCTAGGTAACTCAACGTCTCCATACTCTTTCCGCTGATGTTGATTAGGTGAAGACAATTGGCAGGAATCCCTTTTCCGCTTTGGCTTTGTGTTTATTCATACTTGTCAGTAGGGCGCATCTATAATCCTGAGGAAACTGATTTTCCCTAGGAGATTCGATGTCATGTCATTCAGTGTCGCGGTTAGAGACCTGCTATTTAGTCCTAATTAAATTGGGTGACTCAGGTTTGGGTCAATACGGAGATATTAGTTTCTTCCAAGGTGGAGGTGGACCATGCTGATAAATGACGGAAATCGCTTTAAATAAGTCAAGTAAGGCTTCTTATCTATTGCCTCCAGTCATTTAACAATAGGTGGTTAGTTAGTTTATGATTTATATCAAAATCATCTGACCTAAGCGAATTTTACTCTAATTTTCAGTTCAACTCCTGGTTACAGGCCAGACTTCGTCTGTGTGGACGTTATCATCGTAATATCTGATGGACCAGTTCTCTCAGTGAGCTGGGAACATCATAAAGCAACACTTCCATATGAAATTGAACACTCCTCCTAGAGGACTATGTAAACACCGCATCAAAACTGAATAGCGCAGTCCCAGAATCCCTCGAATTATCCGGCTTTAATGCGCTCATATTCACCGGGTAGTTTGATCGTTTGACTGTTCTAACCCCCCTGCGGGCAGACTTGTGTAGAGCGCGTCTCAGTGACTCTCCAAAATCTAGGAGAAGAGAAACAGATCACCTATCCGACAAACTATCTCTCTTTCCTCCCGAGGCAACTGATGTTTTCAGTTGATTTTGTACCATTTGTATCCACAAAGCTCATTTAAATTGACAGAAAAAACAATTGAGAGACTTACAATGTTTTGTGTTCATAAGTGTAGCGCACAAACTCGGGATCTTTCACTCGATAACCTGGAAATAAATAGAAAACTAACGATTAGATAATTCAAATCCGCACCTACAATGTGGAATATCATGTTGTATACATATACCTGGTCCCATATAATGGGGTAAGCCATTAAACATCTATTTAGTAATACTGTCGAAGGTATTCAGTCCATTTACGGATGTTTACTTGAGACAGATGGATATTCTTTGCATGTGAGACTTTGAAACCAACTGAATTGTTCGTGAGTTACGGTTTAGACTACTGATTTACTTGTCAGTAGTTTGTTTGTAGTTATGCAGTTGAATGAAACAGGTTTAAGCGAAACTGATATCATTGCTCCGTGATTTGTTCATCCCTGTTGTGTTTTATTCGCAATTCCATAGGAATAACCCTTTGAAAGACTGTTTCTAATGCGTTTCATATGCTGTTGTGCATTGAACAATATCAGCAGAACCAAACAGTCTGTCCAATGGTCAATCTGTAAAGGTTACGTCCATCAACACTCCCATACTGTCGAGTGGTGTACACAATACACTGGACCACAAGTAATTCTTTCCAAATAATTTACCAACCTTTATTGATTACATTTTCAGTACTTTCACTTCTCACTTTCTTATTTGAAGTCAGTCATTATTACAAAGAAGTTTTCCATTCTCTTAAAGATCTTTTTCGATTTTAGCTAGTTCAGTTCACATGGAAAAGAGGTCTGAGGAAAAATCTCCTATCCTGCTTCAAGTTTTTTTATCCTGGTTGACTTCCCGACTGTTGAGAAGATTTTTTGCAAGTTGGGATTTGTCAGTGACTGAAATCAGTTGGAGAAACATTGAAAATTTGGTAACGGTAGCTGTTTCTAGCACACCCATGATACCCGTCAGGGATTGAACCCATGACCCTCAGGTTATGCATTGCTCACGTCATACTCGAGTCGGTGGATAGGACTTCAATGGTTCACATTTTCCTAGTTCGGTCAGTTTGCAAGATAATGCGACTTCCACCCAATACCGTTGTTGAGTAACTGTCTTCACGTGCCACTTGATTTACCCAACCGGCCACATTATTTTATTTGGACTTCAAGAATCTCATTGCAAAACAAGTCACTAATTGACCATGACAATCAAGTCAAGACAACATATGCTGATATGCAAAGTAGACCAGCAACCATGTCAAGATGAAGATTTCACTAGTAAGATTAAAGCACTTGCGACGAACAACCTGAACCTCAAGAAAGTGTTGCATATTCTTGGAATTTGAGTCTGATAGAAAATGGTTTAAGACAAATTATCATCTCCTATGAGATTCGTTCGGATTTCCTGGTATCTTGTCAGTCCCTTTATGTCACTGAGTTTATCATGTACACGAATTCAAATAAAGAAGAGACGATATTGTCATAAAATCACCGAATTTAACACACACAAAAATAAATTACTCTTATATTACAAAATGTACTACTAATTTAGCCTGTAGTGCATAGTTTTACTCCTTTCAGTTTAACTAACCTTTCTCATTGAGTTCAATCATTATACGCGCCATTGCTTCAGCTTTATTCGAGGCCAACTTTGTCTCTTCCCATGGAATACCTAATGCTGGGAAATAAAGATGAAATGAGGCAATCAATCTTAACCTTTCTTAGCGTAATTTTAAATACCTATTCAAATAAATTATCATTACAGTTTGTCCCTTGGGTTCCGACTGGAACATACGGCTTCACTAGCACGTCTCCATTCCACCCTCTACTCTGCAATTTTTTGAACCTCGCCCCACGAATGCCCACAAGCTCTCATTTCTTCCTCACACCATCTCCTCCATGTCACCCTCACCTCGGACGCCCAACTCGCCATTTCCCATCTGAGTTCCACTCGAGTGACTGACGTGTGATGTCCCTGAATGGTCTTCTCAGTGCATACCCGATCCAATCCATCTCCACTTCCTTCTGCATATTTGTTCCGCGATGGGCTCTTGGTTGGTTCGCTGCTAGGCCAGAGTTCCTTGTTGCTTATTCTTGTTATTCTGGCCATCTGATCTTCAGTATTGAGTGAGTTAAGGCAGCATCTGTTGATGAATATCTGTAGTTTGTTGGAAGTGCTATCGTGACACGCCAAGTCTCTCAACCAACACATGGAAGTACTGTTTTACTTGACTGAATTAGTGTTGAAAATCCAGATCTTGTTGTTTATGCTGAGTGCAGTGCACTGTAGTGTAGTGCAGTAGATCTCCACACTGTTTTCAGGTTAAAGAACTCCTGTTTTGTCTTTCCGATCCTGTCTTTGACGTCCTTGTCTGTCCCTGTTTCACCTGTAGTTGAAACGATGCTGCCTAGATAGTTGAAAGAAGCAACTTCTTTTGAGTTTCTCCCGTTGATGGTGATTGCTGCTTGTTGTTGTTGGTGGTGGTGTTGGTTGGGTATCATTATCACCTCTGTCTTCTCTACGTTCACTTGAATTCCCGTCTTCGCTGCCACGCCTCTTCTGTCAACTTGTCAGTTCTCGCCTGCAGATGGCCAAGTTTGTGTAACATTAGACACAAGTCATTGGTGAAATCCAAATCTTATAGAGTATCCCTCTCTTCTCGCTCCTCACAGTTTGCTGCATGATCCAGTCCACTACAATCAAGAAGACCATCGGTGATAGTAGGCGCCAACCTTGTCCTGACCCTGTCTCCACTCTTATTTCAAAGGCGTCACTCACCTTCCCATTGTGCATCACTTAGCATGTGACGTCGTCATATAGTTGTTGAATGATGTTGATAAATATTTGTGGCACTGCGTGGTGTTGAAACAGCTACCTGTCAAATTACTTCTCGGTCGACGCTGTCGAGAGGCATTTTCAAAGTCAATAAAATTGGGGTAGAGTGGTGACTGCCACTCTATACTCTGTTTTATGATGATGCATAGTGTAGCATTGCAAATTGACCCACACATGATTTGTTCTTCGTGAATCCAGCCAGCTAGCCTGTTCCACTCGTAATTTCGAATCCAGAGCATCCTTTAGTTTGTCCAGCATGATGCGGCTAAATATTTTGTTTTCTACGGGTGGACAGGGACAGAAGCATGATTGCTTGTCAGTTCTTGCCAACATTTAGGTCTCCTTTCTTCGGGAGTTAGACAAGGTAGCCCTTCTTGCATTTAATCGGTAGGTACCTATTCTTCCTTCCATACCTTTTGCAGTAGTGGTGTGAGCATGTCCACTGTAGTCTTTGCGTATGTTCTCGGTGGTTCAAATAGATTACTAAACAATAAAACAAGTTAGGATCGCTTATTTTAAAACACGGCTATTCACAAACTATCCAGAAAGTACGCAGTCTGTGTGGAAGACTGAAACTAAAGATGGACTTGACTTGTCGATTTCAGGGTAAGTAAGATGGATGCCCCACAGATAATAATGTTCAGCGACGGTAGCAGTAAACAGTGAACTGGGAAGTGCCGAACAGTGTGGACAGTGTATTGGGTCAGGGTACTTACCGTGAAGCCTGACTATCTTATCACCTCTTCCATCGTAAACAGAACAATAGAGATACTTTGACTATGGATAAATATCACATCTAATCAACCAGTGAAAAAATGTCATCAACAATCGTAGAACCCGATGGGCGAAGTTAATCATATCGTTCTTTGCTAATGAATGACTCATCCTTCATTTCCTTCAGTATTTTCGACAACTGCAGCTCTGTTTGCTCAGTAGGATCTTTGTTTATCGTCTGTCTTAAGAATTTATTTTCATCGATAGAATGAGTGAACGTTTTTCTAAATAGTCTGATTTGTTTAGTAGTACTAAAATCTCCCGTTTATATAGTCTTCCATAAATACACAAAGAAGGCATTCCACTCCATCCAATGCTGGATATGAAAAACTCTCCACATCATTTAATCACGAAATGGCTTGTGGAAATAGCTGAACCTGTTAAAAAGAGGCTATGGAACTACAGTCTCTATTTGTTGATTCGATAAAGAATATCAGTTTGACAGGTAAAGAAATGATTTCATTGGATGTCGTGTCCCTCATCACAAATGTTCCACTGACAGAAACCATCTGCTTCCTATGTAAATTCATTTAATGTCATAGCATAGATGTTAGTGTCCCAATTCACCACCTAAAACAGCTTCTCCTTCTATCTACCTTCAATATACTCTTCAGATTTAATGATGAAACCTATTGGGCATATAAACGGTATGGTTAAGGGTTCTCCACTAGGACATCCTTTAGCTGACTGCTTGAAAGAAAGCCTTCAAAATACCAACTTATCATCAATAATCAGTGAACTTCATGTCTATAAGAAATACATTAGTGATACCTTGATAGTTTGTGATGAAAATATGAATCTTGCCAACCTGCTTAACACCTTCAACAAACCCTATCCAAATTCACTCTAGAATCAAAATCAAACTCAATGTCCCATTTTTTTTTGTTGATGTTCTACTCCAAAGAAAAGAAAATAATCAACTTTATAGAGTGATCTACAGAAAGCCTACGTAAAATGGACAGTTTATTGATTTTCTATGCAGGAAAAAAAATCTTATTCATTCACTTTCCTTGAGAATCAATGTTGTTGTAGAACTGCAAATACTTTGATAAACTCTAGCGGAAAACGGTTTCCCGCTCAAATTCATAGATAAGAACATGAAACCAAAGAACCTAAGTGAATAAACACATTTGGCGCCGAAAAAGATTTCTTTGTTCTATCCTGAATTCAAAAATGATATTGCTACAGACATCCTCAGGAAACAATCATCGAAGTCCTTAAATAGAAGATACTTTACCGTCAATCTTCGGATAATTTTCTTCTACAAGAAACGTTTTGGTCAATGTGTGAAAGACAAGCCAACGCATTGGGCTTATTCAATGTGTTTATACCGGTTTACTTGCTGTGGTGGAACTGAGTACATCGGCCGTACGATGGTTCCGCTTGTAAGATGTACCCGCGAATACTATCCAGCCTGACTGGCAAACAGAATACCTCGTGAACTCAGGCCTTTTAGCTCCTTTTGACAGCTCATTCAAAATTCTCTACAGGGTTCGATCAAATCTTTCAAAGAGAATGATAATAATAATAATAATGGCTTTGTTCTGAAATCCGTTTTGGGAGTATTCTACAGAGTTTTCGGCATATCATATAGCATCAGTTGAACAGAGACAGTTTGTATATATATATATATATATATATATATATATATATATATATATATATATATATATATATATATATACAACAGAATGAAATAAGCAGAAATTACACGAAGAAAAAGATAAGAATATTCACTCCACCTACAACCTTCTTGAAAATGCAGCGGTAACTTAAGCAAACAATCACATTAGCAATTAGATGCATAATACATAAATAATAACACGGTGTGTACACAAGTTGATCAGTTAGTTCATAACTGTCAATTCAAGACAGCGTAACTATCACCCAAGGTCTTCAGTTAGCATCCACTTCACTTCCGAAGACCTTGGGTGATAGTTGCGCTATGTCTTGAACTGACAGAAATTGGAAATTGTGAACCACTGCGAACCGACCCGGTAGTTAACGCGTTCGCCGTGAAACCCAAGGGTCCCGGGTTCGATCCCTAGCTGGGTCGTCGGTGCGTGTTGCTGAGGAGTCCCATTCTAGGACGAAACAGCTATCCAGTGCTCCCTAAATGATCTCGGTCCATGATGAATACCACTTCTAAACTAAAAAAATCCCCATTCATCTCAAAAATAAGTTGTTAGTTTATCCTATCCTGAAACTATGAAGGGAATAGTACCACTGAAATGGAGTATACCAAAATATTTCACCGTATAACATCAGTTGACAGTTAATGGTGGTGAGGGGGATGAAGGATTCCAGAGATCGATATCAGCCTATGAACTATGGAAAACTACAGAACACAGGAAATCTATTTTGTTAAACCTTAAGACTCTTTAATAGAGTGTACCACAAATCAGGAAGAAATAATTATCCTGTACACTCTACTTCTCTATGGTTTGTTAACTAATGTCTGTTTGTGATCAGAGTTAAATTGAAAATGTTATACTGATTTTAAATATTAATCTGAGCTATAAGCGTTCATTTTCAGCAGTTATTGAAATCATTTATCATAGAAAATAATGTGAAATTGTCTACACCCTCCGAATCGTTAATCTTTTCTCAGCAAAAATTTAACGAAACACCCTGTAACCAATAAAGAATAAGTTTTAGTATCTCTGATCAAATGAACAGATTATAAAATGACAATATGCCAAGCATAAAAAATTTTTTTTATAGAAATATATGAAATAGTAAGGTCGCTAAAATGCTAAACTTATCTAATGGCTGATAAATTACACGTCCATAGACAAAGATTATATCAACTTCGTGTTGATTTGATCACTCATCGAACAATGAGTAATAATGTTCAGTAAAGATAGTGTTTAACACTGACCGAATCGTGTTGACCACCTGATGAAATGTACCTCTGTAACCATGTGCAAGTTTATTCACTAGGTAGTTAGTTGGCCACACTTACTGAGTGCAGGTTTATGGTACTTACAACCTGGCTTCCCGAAACCCGGTAATTAGTGCGGGTTCTTACCTGTAATCCAGTAATTAAAAGTTGTTGAATGAAAATA